AGTGGCCCGCACCCATCCACAAAAGAGCTCATTGAGTACTGTTAGGAACTAGACATTTTTGAGGGTGGCCACACCAAGAGTAAGCACAGGGTGTGGCCCTCAAAAAGCTTTTAAACCAGGAAAGGAAATAGAGCACATGAGGTCAGAGTTGAATTTCATGGGCACAAATGTTTTTAAAACTTGAGTAGGGCACATGCTACACGGATGGATAAACCTTGAAAACACTGCGCTAAGACAGTACAAAAGGACAGAAACTGTGTGCTTCCACTTATGAGGTTGTGAGTATAGTCAAACTCACAGAAAGTAAAGACGGTTGCCAGAAGCTAGGGGTGTGGAGGAAAGGGGAGTTAGTGTTTAATGGGAATGAAGTTTTCAGTTTTGCAAGACGGAGTTCTGGAAATGGATGGTAGTGAAGGCAGCATAATGTGAATGTGCTCAGCACCACTAAACCATACATTTAAATCGGCCGAAATGGTAAATTTTGTTTTGTGTAGTTTGCTACAATTAAAAAAAAAACTTGAGGAAAAATATCAAATTATGGTGTTACATAAAGAACATAAGACTTGGGCTAAAAAAAAAAAAACAACCAAGTTCTTATCCTTGCATTTCTCCTGACCTAGGTTTTAGAGGAAAATAGGGAAAAAATTTAAGCAAAAAAATGTGGTAAAATATTTAATAACATAAATAACATAGCCCCCACCCCCCATCCCTGTGAGCCAGGTAATCTACATTCGGACTATAAGACACAATCCCTTTCCCTTCCAAATTGAGGGACGGGGGGAGTGTGCCTTACAGCCCAAAAATTACAGCAAATGTCCTAACCTATAAGGCAGAGAAAATGATTAATTTTAAGGTTGACAGAATTAAGAGGTAATATATGAAAAAGCCAATTAGCTAAATGTATGGTGCAATACAGAACAAGTTGTTATCATGGGAGTGATGAGAAATGTTCACTGTAAAATAAACATGCAGATACCACATTAGGGAGTTAACATTTATCGAATGCCTATTATGTGCTTATCTCAGTTTATGTAGCAAAGGTTTCAAGGTATTATCCCTGCAAAGATGAAATTGAGACAGAGATATAATTTGCTTAAACCCAAAAAGCAGCTGTCTTTCAAATCCCTCATTCTTTTCACTCATGGGAAGCTGTGAAATAAAGTGTTGAAATTGAAAGTAGAATAAAATAGGAAATAAAACAGTAGACATGATCAATAAACGCAGAAGCCGGTTTTTTTAAAAAATCATTTATTTTACAATTATTTGAAACAGAAGTTTCAAAAAGAGCACAAAGAACTCCATCCAGATTCAACAATTGTTAAATTTGCCGTATTTGCTTTCTTTTCTCCCTCCCTCCCTCCCTCTCTCCACCTCTCTAAACCATCTAAGTTTCAAAGATCATGTGCCTTTCTTTACTCTGTCAGAGAGAAAACAACTTCTCTGCCCCCTTGGGTTAATGATTTGGGACCTGCCAATTAAACTAACAAAAGCCAGATCAGCAAGAGAAAAAGCAAATTACACACTGAGCACAGAAGTTCAGAAAGATATGTGACTCAAGAAGTCCTTTAGAATCTGAGGCTTATCCAGCATCTAAATTGGGGATAGGGAGATATGGGGTACTTCTAGAACAAAAGACTTCTGAGAAGACTGGAAAGAAAGGGACCTTATGGAAAACAAGTAACTTTTCAGAAAGTGGGTTCTTGAAATAGGCAGGTGGGAGATAGGTTTTCTTAATTTTCTGAAAGTTCCCTCTGTTTCTTCTTCCTTGTACTCTTTTTACCTAAATGCTGTTGTTCCTGAGAACTCTATCCTAGGATACTTTCTCTTTCCTTTTCATTCTTCTACATTCTCCCTGGACTAGCTATCCACTCCCACAGGTTCAATTACATAGTTGGGGTGCATCAGCTCATGCAATACACAATATTACCAACTAATTTCTCCTAGGTTCCAGACCTCTACATCCAACGGCCCACTTGAAGTCCTCCCAGGCATTCAAACTTAAGAGTTCCAAATTGAACTGCTCCTTTTCTGATATCCCGTTAATGCCACTGCCATCATTTAATTGTTCAAAGAGAGACCTGAAGTCTTCTTGACTCCTTCGTGAATCTAAATGACATGTAACCCATCAAGAACAGTGGCTTCTACTTTTGAGCTTTTCCTCTACTCTTTCTACTTTTCCTCTTCTCTTTCAACCTCTACTGCCACTGTGCTATTCAATATCACCAACATCTCTTGCCAGGAGAACTGAAACAGTGTCGTAACCAAGTTCATTGCCTCCAGACTTGTTTCTCTCTCATCCACACTTTATCCTCAATCAAGATGATCTATCCAAAATGCAAAACTGACTGTAGCCCCCTCTTGCTGGAAAATCTCAAGGACTTATTTGTGATTCGGCTAAAGTCCACACTCCCTTCAACCTATTCCTAAGACCTGGCCTCTGCTAACCTTAATCTTTTGCCATCCTGGGCCTGCAACACTTAGTAGTATTCAGTACATATTCATTGTTTTAAAAATAAATGCTTTTAAAAAAATACAAAAGAGAAAAACTATCTTACTTCTATGTCCTCAGAGCCCAGAACAGTGCCCAGAATATAGTAGGTGTATAACAGATATTTCTTAAATCAAAGAATATAGTAGAGAAGTGGATAAAAAAAAAGCTGTGGTACATTTACATAGTGGAATACTTACACAGCAATAAAAAAAAAAACCTCTTACCTTTTGTGACAGCATGGATGGTCGTGGAGGCTATTATACTAAGTAAAATAAGTCAAGTGGTGAGACGAATACCATCTAATCTCACTTATATGTGGAATTTAATGAACAAAATAAACTAACAAGCAAAACAGAATCAGAGGTATACAAACATGGAACAGTTGTAAGAGGGGAGGTGGGAGGGGAGGCTAGATGTAAAGGTGAAAGGATTAGTCAAAGAACATACCTGCATGACTGATGTACATAAACTGTGACTCACAGTGAGAGTGGGGGATGGGTTGGGTGGAGGGCAGCAAAAGGGGGGGAAATTGGGGCAATTGTAATGGCATAAAAAATAAAACATTAAGAAAAGAAATATATTTAAGAAATATATTTATCAGTTCCAGTGACTGTCGAATGGGGATGAGCATGAAAATAGAACTTTTTAAATCCAATTGGCATCTCTTAGAGTGGCATATTTACAAAAGTCATACTCTAAAATTTGCCAAGTTTTAAAACCAACCACAATGATCTCAGAAAAAAAAGCATTTTAAATGAGGGGAGAAAAGCACTCAACCAACTTCTTTGAAACTGCTCATTTATTATGAATAGAACAAGCTGTTAAAATTTTACAAGGAATAAAATACAAGTTCACAGTATCCTCATTACCTCTTATTTTTCATTTTAGATTATGAGTAAAAGTTAATGCACATATTTAAACAAGCAATCATGGAATGTAATGTTCCATACTTAATCATTATATAACTAAAACAGATGAAGTACTGACTTTAAAATCAGGATATCTATTCCAAAGACATCTTTTTCTAACCTTTAAAGACTAATATTAAACAATCCACAGAGAAAAATTAAAGCATGAAAATCTAAGAAGCAAAACAATACTTTAATTAAGAAGTTGCTGAAAATAGTACCTATAGATAATGATATATATTAAGAATAATATCCAGATTGCTAATCTATATTGTTTAGGAATGAGAAATACTATTTTGATAAAAATACCTGAAAGAAAAAAAATAATTTAAGCACTCTATTCAATTTAAACACAGATATATTGTCAATTCATTGTATTACTGAACTGAAAAAGTAAAATAATAGTTGCCTCATATGAGGATAATTTAGCAAATGAGAGAAAGTTCACTTAATATCTATTCTCTCCAAAGGATGTAAATCTATGCCTTTTCCTGGCTGGTATGAAATATCACGACTGGGTTAATCATTTGAGGATAACAAACACAAGGTTGTATCCTTACTGTGCACCAACATCAAAATACATTGCATGTAGATGAAAGATTTGAATGTTTGAAAGAATGAAATCATAAATGCATCATTAAACTGTTTATGAATATTTATAAAATCTTGAGACTTTCAAAACATATTACCAGCTTTGACTGGCGTGCCTCAGTGTGTTGGGCGTTGTCCTGCAAACCAGGTCACCAGTTTGATACTGAGTCAGGGCACATGCCTGGGTTGCAGGCCAGGTCCCCAGTTGGGGGTGCACAAGAGGCAACTCATTGATATCTCTCCCTCTCTTTCTTCCTCCCTTCCCTCTAAAAAGATAAATAAAATCATTAAAAAATACCATTTTGAAAAAAAATCACCAAAGGCAAATATAAGGCAAAGTTTGACAGACCATGACCATGATATATAAAAAGAGAAAGATAAGGGTTATTACTTATTTATAAAGATTTTATATATATATATATATATTTTTTTTTTAAGAGAGAGGGGAAGGAAAGGAGATAGGAAGAGAAACATCAATGTGTGGTTGCCTTTCATGCATCCCCTACTGGGGACCTGGCCAGTAACCCAGGCATGTGCTCTGACTGGGAATCGAACCAGCAACCTTTTGGTTCACAGGCCAGCAGTCAACCCACTGAGCCACAACAGCCAGAGCAAGATTATATTTAAATGAAGTTTTAATGTATTCACATATAACAACAAATCAAATGGTAGTACTGAGCATCTGATAAAAAGCAGTAAGAAGACAATAATCACTGCCATGAAAAATGGGCAAAGGATGGGATAAACAAAAAGAAAACAATTGCCAATACATTAAAAAATGTCCAACCTTTTTTCCAATCAAAGAAATGCAAATTAAATGAGATGCCATTTTTGCATACTCAATTACCAGAAAAAAATGGGTACAAAGAAGCAATATGTATATAAAAAAACTTAACCATTTCAACATAGCAATTTTTCTTTTAGGATCATCAAGTATTTCTAGAATTATCCAAATATGTCATAGATATACAAAAATATTTAGTTATACAAATATTCCTTATAGCTTTGTTTACAGTATTGCAGAATTTGAAATAGGGTTTGTTTAAATTTGGCAAATTTAACACTGTAATGCCAGTCATTAAAATAATACTAGAATATTAATAACATTGAAAATGCTTATAATAATTGTCAAGTTTAAAAAGCAGCTACCAGTTTATCTACAATTTGCTTTAACATGCTTTCTAAAATAAAAGTTTTCCAGTAAGAATTGTTTTCCTGTAAAGGCCAAAACATCACATTATCTATAGCTTTCTGTTTCAGGTCTCTACTTCCCAAGCAGACTCCTGATTACCAACCTCTTTTTCCTAGGTATTTCCGAAACAGAAAAGGAATGCCCTGAACTGGAGAAGTTAACGTCCCATTGATCGCAAAGTGCTACCTCCCTCCCACTGTAGATTTCTGGTGATACACAAAGCCTAGGAAGAAAATTAGAAGCTATTAGAGATGGAAACAAAATGGTTGAAAGGGAAGAAAATAATGCTAGGAATAAAGTCTGAAAGGCAGGGATCTCTAAAAGAAGCTATGGTATGGACAAATATGTTTGGAAACCCTTCGTAAAACTGTGAGTCCTGGACAATGAAGAGTAGTATGAAGACGATTATTACTGCAGTGAGGTATGGGTGAAGGATGCTGATTTAAAAAAATCTACAAAAGAACACATTTAAAAAAGTTTAGTTTCTTTTCTAACAAAAAGAATGCAAATTAAAATAAACATGTTAAAAACCTTATTTTAAGGTATGGGAAGCCAAGAAGGCATACCAAAAGGAGGCCAGATCCAACACCAGTGTAGACTGACATGTCAGGGCAAATTTGTCATCATTCTGCATTGTGAAAATAAGTCACTTAAGTATATAATAACTGGAGCACTCCAGGTACCATATGAACTTGATTACTCTACACAGAAAAATAAATCTGAAAATAAGTGACTTCAGTTCTTAATAACTAGAGCATTCCAGGCACCATATGAAGAACTTGCTTACGCTACACACACAAAAAAAATAAACTTGAATTTTCTGTCTCCCACCATTTACAGGGTGGGCAAAAAGTTGGTTTCTAGTTGCAAGTATGCATGACAGCTTATTCTTACATTATTAGTTATTGTATTATTTTACATACAAACAAATATAAACCTACTCTTGCCCCACCTGTAGTCTATAATTAAAGATTTAATTGTGAAGGTACAATTCTAAAGCAAATAGAAACAAAGCATATACTAGTATTATGATTTGGGGACAGGGTAGGACTTTTTTACTAAGACCCACAAAACACAAAGAATCAAGAAATAAACGGATTGGACTACATCAAACTAAATATCCTTATTCAACAAAGGACCTCCCTCATAAATACAATTTGTAGATGGGAGATGGACTTGGAAAACTTACTTGCAACATGTAAAATGGACAAGAGGTAGATATTTAGAACAAGGGTTGTTCTGTAAACAGTTAATTAGTAAATATTTTAGGCTTTGTGGAATGTATGTTCTCTGTCACAACTGCTCGCTCTGCCACTGTAGAATGAAAGCAGTCACAGACGGCACATAGATCAGGGGTGTCAAACTCATTTTCACTGGGGGCCATGTCAGCTCGCGGTTGCCTTCAAAGGGCCGGATGTAACTTTAGGACTGTATACATGTAATTGCTCCTTAACAGTGAAGGGAGAGCTCAGGGCTGCTGCCGAACAGAAACAAAGTGCCAGGTGGATAAAACAAGGTGGAGGGCCGGATTTGGCCCACGGGCCTTGTGTTTGCCATCTGTAACATAGATGAATGGATGTGACTGTGTTCTAATAAAACCGTATTTACAAAAATAGGTGGACAGCAGGATTTGGCCTGCAGACTGTAATCTGTCAACCCCTAATGTAGAATATACAAGAAATTCCTGTGAATCAATAAGAACAATTTAGAACACTCAATGGAAAACCAGGGCAAAGATATCAATGAGCAATTGGCAGGATAAAAAACCCAAATGGCTAAACAAGTATATAGATGTGCAACTTGATTAATATTCTGAGAAATGCAAATTAAAAGGAAAGTCCCTTGTTTGCCAAATGGATCTGTCAGGACGTGAAAGTCAGATAACTTAGGTGGAGGTAAGGGTGTAGGAAAACATGGCACCCTCATGCCTTACAGAGCCATTCTGGAGAGCAATCTGGAAGTGCTAAGTGAAATGAGGTATGTCATCCTTACTCCAAACATAGGAGAGCTCGTTGATAAAGGGCAGCAGGCAACCTTATAGCAAAACACAATACTTTTTTTGTATTTTGTAATTGGAGACAAGCTCCATTAGCCTAATTTTTCTCATTTCAATAATAAAAACACCATCATAGACTGTCACTCGTTTATAAACCAAATGTTATACTCTACTTTCTACCAATGTGTTTTAGACATGAAGACAATCTTAATCCCTTAGTATTTAATGCTTTTACAGTTTAGAGTTTGATATCTTTAAGAGACCTGGCTTTAAGGAGTCCGATTAATGGTATGCAAAATTCACATGAAATAAAGTGAGACTTCAATTTTATAGGATGGATAGCCAATTATAGGGCTGTACTCTTAGATCCTTCTGGGTTTTTCCTCCTCTACAGTATCAGAAACCCTGATAAGCAGGGACAATTATTGACTACCCATCAATCTTTAGCTAAATAAAATTAAGGTATAACTGTTTTTCTGTCTGTTTAATGGGAAATTAAATTACACAAACAATATAATTTGCTTGGCAATTAGAATTGCAACTTCCTTCAGCCATTTCTTTCTGCCTCCACACTGAGTAAAATTTGATGTAGCATTAAGTTCTGAAATAAAGGCATTCTTTTTAGAATTAATTTGCTATGGTCTGATAAAGTATACAATGGATTATTCAAATTTATGTGGCCTAAACACAGTAAGAGTAGTTTGCAAATGCAAGGATTAAAAAGGCTTATTGTCTCAAAGACAGTATAATCACATATTTTACCTTAAAGGTAAATTTGTTATTCCACTCTACTCCAATCCTTAAAACCACTTTAGAGTCGAAATAGCTGTGACATCACGGAAACGTTTTTTCTTCCCCATCTCTTATCACATATTCATTTAAAGCTTTGATTATATGAAAGCATATGTATTCTGCTGCTTGATGAGCCATTAAAGGAAAAGTGGTTTACATGGAATTGCACACTTTAAGCAGGCAAGCAAACATTGTGGTGTTTAATTATATCTCAATAAAGCTGATAAAAAAAAAGGTGATTTAGTCACCTAGTCTTGCGGCTCTTAAACGTAGTGCAATGGGAAGAAAGGCAAGGAAGAGGAGTGCAGTGAAGGTAGCCAACCAGGAACTGAGCTACATTTCCAGCCTATTTTATCTGTCCCTTAGTAACCTAGAAAGAGAATGTGGGCATGTGTGCACAAGTGCTTATGGGAGACAGGTATATGTCTTCCTTCCTTATGTGAACAAGGAAGGAAGGACTAGGGCAAAAGGTCAAGAAGAACCAAATGTTACCATTGAAACACTTTCCTTTCACCAATTCCTATAAATAGACTTACTTAAAGATTTCTGGCCCTGGCTGGTTTGCTCAGTGGATCGAGTGCTGGCCTTCAAACCAAAGGGTCATCAGTTTGATTTCCGGTCCAGGCACATGCCTGGGTTCCAGGCCAGGTCCCAGCAGGGGACACACAAGAGGCAACCATACATTGATGTTTCTCTCCCTCTCTTTCTCCCTCCCTTCCCCCCTCTCTAAAAATAAATAAATAAAACCTAAAAGACTTCTGTCAGATACTAATAAAAGGAAATGATAGGCCCTTCCCTTCATCCGCAAACATGTCATTTTGAAAACAGGAGCAAGAACACAGGATTTCTATTTAAGACTTCTTTCCACAGCCTGCAACAACTCTGACATATGCACTGCTTGCGTGGAAACTGAAGGCTGTTTTTATCTTTTTTAAAAAATGTTTATTTATTTATCTTTAGAGGGGAAGGGAAGGAGAGAGGGAGAGAAATCCCAATGTATGGTTGCCTCTCGTGCGTCCCCTGCTGGGGACTGGCCTGCAACCCAGGCATGTGCCCTGACTGGGAATCAAACTGTGATCCTTTGGTTCGCAGGCCCGCACTCAATACACTGAGCTACACCAGCCAGGTGAAGGCTGTTTTTAGAATCAAGAATTTAAAAACAACTAAGATCATGCTTTATGTAAAGGGAATAATTCTGACAGAGAATACAACTATTTTTTTTAAAGACAACATATAGATGATGATAAAACATAGGATGCTGGTACTCATTTATTTTTTTTATTGCTATACATCAAATGCCAGCAACTCTGGTATTTTCAAGTTAAACCTTAAGAATGAATTACAGAACAGTCAAAAGATTTAGAGAAAAAAAATCTCTGTGCACCATTAGTACATGGACATTCAATAAATACCATAGGACAAACCGATGACTGGGAGCCACATACCCATGACGCACATGTTTACAACATACGGTTAGAACAGACAATGACCTACAAGAGTGATTATCAAAAGGTCGAGTTCAACTATATGTCTTTCAAAACTGAGATGCTGAAGAGAATATATACATTCTTTATAGACTGTAGGTGACTTTTAAAAATCCTCAAAAATGTAAACAATGCAGAGCAGGAACACTGAGAACAAAATTTTGTTGAACAAAGTGACAACACAGAAAGAATGCCTTCTTCAAATTCTCAAGATAATTCTTTTCTTTTCCCATTTTTCTCATTGCTCAACAGAAACCAAAATGGGTTCTTTTCCTAGAGATGATAATATACCAGGGACACACAGACCTTCTGAGTTATTTTTTTTATGTTAACATATATTTATAGTAAATACTTAATCGTTTTTATAGCTTAAATAGATACATGCTTTCCTAATCCATAAATAACACTAATCATCATCCATTCAACCACATTTATTAAGCATTTCTGATGTCTCATGCACTGTGTCAGGGATGCGAAGATGCGTATGACATGGTCCTTGCTCTAGAAGTGCCCACGATCAAGCTGAAGAGATAACGCATAACATTTCCTTCCTTTCTTACATGATGAGGACATTTCTACACAAATGGGGCTGATAGGCTCGATACCCTAATAGAATGGTTCCCAAAATCTTGACCCCATGGAGCTAAAAAAAGATGTTTGGGTTTTTTTATTTTCCACCCAGAAAATTAATGGGAAGGATTTTCTCTACTAAGTGTTTCTCAGTTTTTAAAAAACTGACCTGCACATATCCATTTTCATTAGTGAACTGCTCAGTTATGTAACTGAATTCATTATGCAAGTATTTCACGGTATTCCCCAAGTTCTACCTGAGCAGGTCTGAACACTATCCTGCTAATACGCTTTGATCCTGAATGACCAACCGTGTGCCTACAAATAGAACAAATGCTTTTCCTGCGATAAACCAATAATCTGTATGGTTTTAGTAGTGGTAATAACCGACCACCTCAGCATTAATTAATTAAAATCATATTCAAAACATAATTTGTTTCAGAAGGCAGGCAAATGTGTAATACAATCTAAAAAGAGTTTATTAATTACAAATGATTAAAAAGTTTTAGTGCCTAAACAGCAACTCAGTGATCTGCAAAAGGTGAACCCCATGGAAGGCTTCACTTAGTGAAGAAGTTGGCTGCATGACTGTTGGTGTTCTTGAATGTATGAGAGAAGCACACACTTGTCATCCAAGAAAAGCATGCCCCATACACTTCTAAGACTACAGGGGCCTGCTGACTTTCCAAATCTCCTAGGCTGCATCTCCCTGGGACTTATATATGGAGTTTTTCAGGCACAAAAGTTGGTTCCCAGGCTCTGGCCAATTCATGTTTTATGCTCACATATAGCCATTCTCATTGTACTACCAAGTCTTCTGTGGACCCACTGAGGTAGCTTAGGAGAAAGGTGGAAAGCCAGGAGTAGATGTTTTATTACCCAACACAGAGTAACATGGGGAGCTGCTGGTGAGAACAGAGCATGGCTGAGCTTAAGGTAGTTGCTTCTTGAAGACAGGAACCCTGGAGCTGGGACTCAGATAGCCCCAGCAGCACGAGAAAATATCTACCCTGGAAGGGTTCCAAGCTTCAAAGCTCCGTAGACAATGGTAACCAGGATTGCAGAGGTCCTGGGATGCGTCTTGTGATCTGTTGGAAGACCTAGCTCAGTTCCGAGGTTAAACCCTAACTGCCTCAGCCCACATGCTGCGAGTAGGAGACACTTCCTGCAGCTCATTGTAAATGTCAAGGCTAAGTGCTACTTCAAGGGAACGGGAAACACATTCTCAAAGAGGTAACTCTCGTGGGGCATAAAAATGTCTCAAGATATTGTGGGCTCTATTTCTGACTTTGTTCCCTTATTCGGTATCATTTGACAAAGATTTTCCCTTTCCTGTCAGAGATTCTGATAGAATTTTGTTACTTTAACTGTAATCGAACCTCAATTATCAAGAGTACAACACAACACGCTGTTAAGTTTTAGAATACTTTTCAAACAAGGCAAAGGGCAAGAGATATAGGCCAAGAAAATGCTCACCCTACCACTTGGCCAAGGTCTGGTCTCCTTCAAATCTGGATTAATGATGCTTTTTCAAGAAGTTTCCCCCAATTAATTCCACCACATTCCATTCTCCTTTAAATTATTGCGACATGATTTGTAGTCACACAATATGGTTTAATAAGAATCTGCACTTGTTTAGAAATTGTTCCACGAGCATCTGCAGTTGTAAGTTCACGAGCATTGCAAGTTCAGTCTTTAAAACTAAAATGCAGTCAAGAACTATACCTTGCATTTCTTCTGTTTATTTCCATCAGAGTTGGGATACTCTGGATATAGGAGGAGCTTACAGGTTGTTGGCTAAAATGTCATTTTAAGGGAATACTTTATATTTCATACCAAGTAAACCATATGGTTTTTGATATTGCATGTTGTAACTCGGAGATTCTGTCAGATGAGCACGAATATTACCGTGCTGTAACCATCCAGAGTCCCAGGGTCACGTTGGCAGCCAAAAGTACACTGCCACCCAGCAAGATGAAAAATCCTATCAGATCTTTCACATCATTGTCTCCAATCACTGAGGTCAGGGTAGCATCAAGGAAAGAGTTTAAAATCCACTGTCCATCCAAAGCAAAGCAGGGCACTGCATTGACAATAGCCAGAGCTCCTGAGAGAGAAATTAGGTACCTGGTTAAAATCAATTAAGGAGCCAACAGCGAGGTCTGAGTGGAAACCACACTTCCAGGAGTCAGAAGCTATCTCTGCCCACCAGTACAGGCCATTCCTTCTTAGATATCTACTATTTAAAACAAATGACATAATATTTCAAAGTTCAAAAACCCTGACCCCCCCCCCAAAAAAAAGGCCAACCATTTGTAAACTAAGGTAATCTGTAATGGACTCACAGACTCTTTTTAATTCTAAAAAAAAAAAAAAAAAAAAAAAGGTTTAATTTATTTATTTTTAGAGAGAGGGGAAGGAAGGGAGGAAGAGAAGGAGAGAAACATCAATGTGTGGTTGCCTCTCACACGCCCCCAACCAGGGACCTGGCCCACAACCCAGGCATGTGCCCTGACTGGGAATCAAACCGGTGACCCTTTGGTTCATAGGCTGGCACTCAATCCACTGAACCACACCAGCCAGGGCAGTCCTTTTAAGTCTTTAATGATACAACAAAGAAAGGAATGTGGAAGGAATAAGAAATAAAAGAGCCCTGACCAGTATGGCTCAGTTGGTTCAGTGTTATCCCGCAAAGTGACAGGTCGTTGGTTCGATTCCTGTTCAGGGCACATGCCTGGGTTACAGGTTTGTTCAGTGCCTGGTCGGTGCATGTATGAGAAGCAACCGATTCATGGTTCTCTCCATCCCTTCCCCTCTATCTAAAAATGAATAAATAAAATATTTTTAAAAAGAAATAAGAGAGAATTATTTTTTGATCCTTATAAGCCATTTTGGCCCAATGACCTCTATTTTACTATCATCTATAACATTATAATGCAAATCTGAGACAAAGCTGCAATCTACAAGATACAACAATGACTGTACATATTTTTTGGTAACTGCTCAGTTGTTTTCCATATTTTTCTTTTTCTTTTTTTTGTAAATCACTGTGGAAATTTAAAAGATTTCTCCAAAATGTTCGGTTTATTCAAATTCTACATAATTACCAGTTTTTTTAAAAAAATTCATCTTATATATGCAAACATAATAATATACCAAAGAACGTGAGAGCTTTTGTCCTCTGAATTGTTATGTTAGTAGTGGAAACCAGTTTGTTCTCCCGTATGCATTCTTCCATTTGCTCAGTGCTTACGGGCTCAGAAGAGGCAGAATTCATCACCTCACTAGAAACTGGAGTTTTTATCCTTTATAATTGAATTCTTAATTTGTATTCTATGTTCCTTCCCTTCCATACCCCTAACCTTTCTCCTTCCCTGAGGAATCTTTTTCCTGTGACTTCCTCCTTCACGGGTACTATCTGATCTTTTTAAACTTTCAAGTCTGTCTTCTAGTTGTTAGTAATTCACTGATACTTGCAAGGTATACACAAGCTCTATTCAGGGTAAGACTGAATACAGCATCAAATTCAAAATAAAACTTTTTAAAAAGTTTCACACCAGAAAGGATACTTGACAAATGTCTCCACAACCACAGGCAGATCTATGCTTAGAAAGTTAAAACGTGGGATAAAACTGGTGATGCTCACTAAAAAAGAAAAGAAATAGTGCATATTATTCACAAACAATAGCATTATGAATTTTACCGTCCAGTCAAAAATTGGGCTAGCCAATTAAATTGGTTGAGAAAGTCCTCCTCAAATATACGTAGCAGGTTATATATGCCCTTCATATAAAAACAACCAATTATTCTAACAACATCTAATAAAAATAGTGAAACACAGAAATTCATGTCCTAGACTGTACTTATATTTCGAGGTAAGAATAAGATAAAATTGACTATACACCCAATACTAATAAAAAATACAGAGAGTGACTTAATAAATATAGTTTACATCAAGAGTCCTTAACCTTCCAAAGAGGTATAAACCTTAAAATCACATTCACTACAACTATTATGGCACTTAACCTTTCTGGTCTCATTTTTTTCTTCATTCCTAAAACAAGGATTAAGACTAGAAAAATTTTAAGGCCTCTTCCATTCTGTGGATTCCATAATCCTGTTTTGTTCAAAATATTAAAAAACATTCCTGTAATTAAGTAGAACCAACAGTATACTCTCTTGATTTACCCTAAAAGGGGGGGCCTTTTCTCATTTGTTTAGGATGTATTTAATATTTATCTTCTAGAGTCACTTAGTGTAAAACTCAACCAATACGCATGACCCAGGTTGTAACTCAGGATCTGACTATGAAGCAACGAGTCTTTTAAAAGAGTAACATAAAACCAACTGACAATAAATGTGCTTTGCTCATACAATGGAATTATTATTCAGCCATAAAAATGATGTACCAGAACAGGCTACAACACGAATGAACTTTGAAAACATTATGCTAAGTGAAAGAAGCTGGTCACAAAATATTCCATTTATGTGAAATGTGACAAACAGGCAAATTTACAGAAGCAGAGAGTAGACTAGTGGCTGCCAAAGGCTGGGGGTTGTTGTGGAGAAATGAGGAATGATTGCTTAATAGGAGGAATGGGGTTTCTTTCTGAGGTGAAAATATTTTGGAACTAGATTTTGGTGATGACTGCACAACTGTGAATATATTAAAAACTACTGAACTGTACACTTTAAAAGCATGAATTATGTGGTAGCTGAATTATATTTCAGTAAGTTATTTAAAGAACAGCCCTGGCTGATGTAGCTCAGTGGATTGAGCACTGGCCTGTGAAGCAAAGGGTCACTGGTTTGATTCCCAGTCAGGGCACATGCCTGGGTTGTGGGGTAGGTCCCCACTGGGGAGTGCATGGGAGGCAACCATATATTGATGCTTCTTTCTCCTTCCTTTCCTTCTCTGTAGAAATAAATAAATAAAATCTTTAAAAAATATTACACAAAATAAGTTAAGACTGTATGATCTTCGGCCATATGGAAAAGCTGTATATTTAGCCCAGTCGTGTTGCTACTTGTTCAAATACTTATGCTGACCTTGTTTTGAAATTATGTTTATATAAAATTCATGTGTCACACACAAATTACTTTATTGTCATATCCCTATGATTCCCAGTATTGTCTGGGGTATGCTGTTCTTGTCACTGATTTGGGAGCTTGGATGAACTTAATAAATTTTCACAGAATATCTGAGAGATCAGCTCTGTGATTTGGGCATAAATGGTGGAGAATGAAAAATATACTGCTCTTCAAAGGCAGACAGGGGATTCAACTCCATCTTGTTTTATAAATCCAGGTTATTTTTCTACTGCATAAATTTTATTTAATGCTTAAGAATAAATTAGGAATACCCAAAACTATTATACTATTGTGCATCAACTGTAACTGAAAAGTCAAAAAAATTAAAAATAAAAAAAAGTATGAGTTAACAGGGCTTTGAAAACCGATCAAATTTATAATCAATAAAACTAATGCAAGGATTTGTACCTAGCTTCTACCTCTGAGAATATATGACATCTTAATGATTTTCTGAGGGTCTACCACCAAAATACTCACCTGTGTAGTGCAGGTGCAATGGATGTCCTACGTATAACATATCAATTTGAGGTGGATGTTTTACTTTTATTAAGCGAGTATGAGTTTCCAAAGAAGGTATTATGCAGAAACTTGAACTGGAGCTTTTTTTGCAATCTTTATTGGTTCTACAAACTTGGGTGGCTTCAACTGCTTTCCGGGCAGGTAGGCATGTATGCTATGAATAAAATATTAGTTAGTCAACACTAAAAATGATTTATTAAAAGAAAAACACCAAGTTACGGTCCTTCAATATCTTTCAGGTCACCCAGCATATTAGGAAAGAACTTCATGTAAAAGAAATGCCATTTATGTGCACGTACTATAAATTACATTCAAGTCTTCTACTTTGTCCAAATAAGATATTACCACTATAAAATTTTTAAAATTCTCAGATGAAAAGTGACATGTGAAATGTAGAGATTTTAGTAAAATGATACAAAGCAAAAGGGAGAAGTTTTCATATATTCTATTTTAGCTCTATCTGCTTACTTATAATTATATCAGACAAGCAACACAGCTCAAGGACAACTTACCAAACGCTTATTAAAATTATTTCTGTAGGAGAAGCACACATCTGTGAGGCTTTGATTGTTACAGCATTCAGTTGAACCATCTAGCCGTTTGTATGCTGAAGAGAAATAGTTTATGAGAATCTGTTATATAAAAGTACACTGTAAGAAAATTTTGCCTTCCAGACAGAAACAGTAAGTAAAATACATATGAATTCAGAAACAACTGGATGACTCAGAGCTCAGCTTAATGGCTACTCACTGTAGTTTGATTTTACATCACAAAAAGATACCTGTTCAATTTGAAATCAAGAAGCAGCACTTACCCTCCGTTAGCCGTCTTCATATAAACTCACCCACTCATAAAGCTGGAGCTCCAGGGTCTCAGTGGGTTTTGCAATAATTCCAGCTGGTCAAGCACAAGTATTTAATGAGCCACTATTAGCTGCCCTAATGACATTGATCCAATATCACTACTGAACTCCTGTGCTGTGGTGTTAGCAAACAGAGTAGGCCAAAGGATACCCGAGAGCATCTCATTCCTAAGGAAATACTTATCACATCAAACACCTATCTCAACTCCAGTCTTACCTTGGGGCTTTCCTCCCCAAACCAGGGCAGCCCAATTTGACCCCAAAGATGTGAACACATTTGCTTGCACACCAATAATCCAGTTGCCATTTTTGGAAGACAACAGAAACAACTATTTATTCTCAGTATTAATTTATTTTTTTAAAGTTCTCTGGCAGACTGCTTCACTGATACCTGGGGCTGAATAAGGAAGCTAAATCACTAAATGTAGATGGCACGAAAAATGATTTCCATGTCTTTAGTTTGCAAGACTTCCTGCATTTAGCACATCAAACTTGTAAAGCATAAATTGATGTGTGGAAAGGACCAGTTAAATTTAGAATCTTATATTCATACTACCATACTCAGATGTGCTGAGGAAGACAGGCTCAAGAACAAAGTTCGCACAGTATTACAAAGAAGTACATTTTCCAGTTAAAAAAAAAAAAGTACCTCTCTATTATAAGAGTGTCTTTAGAAACACTAGCATGAAAATGTTAGTTGATATGCAATGTGATTTTATAAGCACTTTTTGTTTGTTTATAAACAGTTAAAAAAAAAACTAGGTTATTTAAAGAAGACACCTTGTATTGGCTACATTGGATGTTGCCTCATCACCACTGCTCTTTCTCCTTGGCCAACATAAAATGGAGAACAAAACAAGTAAAACTAACCAATGCATCGATTTCTCTTGGGCAATAGCTGGCTGTACGGGTAGTTTTGTTTTCTTAGCGTAACTCAATAGATACTTCAATCTTGGGTGACAAATCATTTTAAAAATGCGAAAGCAAACTGGAATACCTAATGTCACTGACCAACCTGCGCCCGCAGTCACTCATCAGCTGAACAATAAAGCATAAGGTAAAAAGCTGTTCAGAATTTTATTTTATTTTATTCCAAGATTTTATTTATTTTTAGAGAAGGGAAGGAGAAAGAAACATCAATGTGTGGTTGGCTGCCTCTTGCGCACCTCCAACTGGGGATCTGGCCTGCAATCCAGACATGTGCCCTGACTGGGAATTGAACTGGTGACCCTTTGGTTCACAGGCCGGCACTCAATCCAATGAGCCATACCAGCCAGGGCTGTTTTGGAATTTTTAAAAAAATCAATCCAGGCTAAACCCCTCGGTGTTCTCTTTGGTCAGTTGCCAAGCCCCACCAATATATACCTCCTCATCATTTTTCTCCTTATCTGTTCCCACTTGAGTACAGACTCTAATTCCTTCTCACCTGAACCATCTGAAAAAAAGCCCTAATGAGTCTTGTACCACCAAGCTGGCACATGCAAACCTGTCCTATAAACTGAATGCTTGAAATTAACCAGCCAATGCAGAACCGTAAGAACACAACTCCTCTAATTTAACATTTCCAAAGACTGCACTGCTCCCAAATAAAGTCTAAATTTCATAGCCTAAAACTTAAAGACTTTCATTTTTTATCATCTTACCTCATACTATTCTCTTACCAAAACAAATTACTAGCAGGTCTTTGAATATCTTCTAGTTATGGTGCCAAGGTTCATTCCTATCTTGGCCTCCTGAAATTAAACTCACTGTTAGGACCAACTCAAAGGGCTGCTGATATGAATTTTGCCCTCATCTCCTCAGTCAAGACTGACTGTCATTGCTCCCACCACTCCCATTGTTTCTAGTCATTACTTTACATCTAACCTTGTACTATATAATAACGTAGCCATGGTCTGTTTCTTTGACTAGAAGCTCCTTGAAGGTTTCTCAGAATCTTATATAGAATAGATAATTCGATATGCATTGAACACTTACACGATGTTCTGTTATTACTTGCCTTTGTATTAGTAATTATTTTTTAAAAATTACATCATGCTGGTATGCCTGAGTTCGTTGAGTGTTGTCCTGCAAACGAAAAGATCTCCTGTTCCATTCCTGGTCAGGGTGCATACATAAGGCAACCAATCGATGTTTCTAACGTTGATGTCTCCCTCCCTCTTTCTCTCCCCCTACTCCTCTAAACAAACAAACAAACAAAATTATACCTGATGCTTGATTACTAAATTTTCTTAGAGGATTGTATACAATGTAGAATGAAAGTTAAGAATTTGCTATTACTGTTAATACAGCATGTGGTAACACAAATGCTTAAAAGGGTCAAAAAATACCAACAAAATAAATGAAGTGGATAGTGCGGAAAAGCAGAAAGTAGTAGAGGCTGTAATGAATTAGAAAACATATACCCTATTCTAAGGAGTTAGCATCCAGGCCACTGAACTTGGGGCCCAGATTCGACAGTTCATCCATTTTATTTCAAGAGAAATCAGAAAGCTGAACCTTCATCTGAACCCTCTTGAATTTTAAATATTAGCAGCCACTTAAAATTTTTAAAAATACAGTGCAAGCCAAACCAAGTACATTTGCCAAGGCTGGATTCGGCCTCTAGGCTTCCACCAATTTTCTCCCTCTGGGTAATGGCTTCTTCCTACGGTGATTTTTTCCAACCCAAACATAAAGCCATGGTTATGAATGTCCTGACAAGATTAAGTATCTAATGACACACAGAATTTTCCAAAAAAGAAAAAAAAGAAAGAAAAGTTAAATACCTTGTTATTGTGTGACAAGTAAACTTGATATTTCTGTTTATCGATTTAAGAAAAGTCAGGTGTAAAAATATTTTATTTTAGAACTCTATTGGGTCACATTAGAAAGTATGAAATAATAAAATATTTCTCTTAGAGAAGAGCACATTGTGGGTTGTATACCAACCTTCTGCCAACTGAAAAGTTTTGGAAGATGGTAAGTGGCTCTAGAGAAGAGGAAAAATTTACAAATATTTCAATCTTAAAAAAAGAAAAGTCAGGTTAGCCCACTTAATCCACAAAGGAGGCAATTGGGCACTGCCTCCTGATGTGATGTGATGGGAAGTACTGAGTGCTACCCAGGTGTATTTTTGCCACCCCCCTCAAATGGATCCTGAGTATAATAAAGCCTGTAGACCTAATCACTTTATAAGAAATTTGGAGGACATCTGAACATATTAATGACATCACAAGGATAAGATATAATTAGACAAATCCAGAATATGGGAAATCCAACAAAACAGATGATTCAGTTTTCTTCAACAAATAGACGGTATCTCAAAAAAAAAAAAAAAAAAAAAAAAAAAAGCAAGCCAAGGAGCATTGTTACAAGTTAAAAGACATACCATCCAACTGAAATAAGCAAAGGGGGAAAACAAAACAGGAAAACCCAACGGGAATATTAGGAATTATTGTTAATTATGTTAGGTTTGATAACAGTACTGTGGTCATGTTTAAAAGGTCACCATCTCCCTGGCTGGTGTAGCTCAGTGGACTGAGCACAGGCCTGTGAAACAAAAGACCGCAGTTGGATTCCCAGTCAGGGCACATCCCTGGGTTGCAGGCCAGTTCCCAGCAGGGGACACACGAGAGGCAACCATACAGTGATATTTCTCTCCATCTCTCCTTCCCTTCTAAAGATAAATAAATAAAATCTAAAAAAATTATAAATAAAAGTAAATAAAATCTCTAAAATAAATAAATAAATAAATAAATAAATAAATAAATAAATACAAGGTTACCATCTGTTAAAGACATGCTGAAGTTTATGGATGAAATGACAGGATACCTAGGATGTAGTTTAAATACTCCCCTGCAAAGTGAGGTGCTTGGATGAAAAAAATTGGCAAGAGGTTGATAATTGCTGAAGTTGGAAGAAGGATGCATGAGTTCATTTATACTACTCTATTGATGTTTATGTAAATTTCAAAATTTTTTATAATACAAAGTTCTATTATATATGCAAAATTACATTGGAAAAAGCTTTAAAAAATCAGTTCTTACTTTATCATTGTTGCACACAACACTTTGATAAGGTTATTTTTGATTGTTAATCATACTTCCTAACCCCAGTAAATGTGGACAAGTATCCAGGGTATTTCTTGACTTAAAGATATAGTTTAATGAGCATAATTTGTGTTTTCCAACACTTCCAACAATTTGGTATCCCATAATTTTATATAAAGAGTTGGGAGACTGATTTTTCAGAGCTGAGATTTCAAATCTGGCAGCTTCTGAGAATAAACTTGCTTCACCCTGCCACCTGCTACCTGGAACAACAGACCCGACTTGAGGGGCTACTCTTGGAAGACAAGATTAATTCCACTGAATGTCTGCCACATAAAATAACAACCCCAAATAGCTTTGGACACGCCATCATCCATATAGCACAGGGACAGTTAATTACTGGAATTTAATTGGTTATGATTGAGCTTAAAATCTGACTTTACTCAATTTTTAAAAAAGTATTTAGAAAGTATCAAAGTGTAAACAAATTGATGGCAAAGAACATACATGTACCTATCTTAGGGGAGCGTAGTCCTAAGGGTGCTTATGTCCAAGGGTGATATTAAAAATGTTTAATAACCAGAATGGCACCGATGGTAGCACAATCTGTATCAGCTCTGACTCAACCCTGCCTACTTCGTTCTTTGGTTTTTAAGTCAAGTTAATCCCACTCTTCTTACAGCAGAGGTTCAACCTCTGCAAAGGCAGAGGGTGTACAATGAGTCTCTAAAAGAACTAACTAGAAGCAGAATTGGAACCACTACCAGTTAGGGCTCTGTAGCAAAGCTACAAAGCTTCCTTGGCCCCTGATGTCTGGACCCAGAAAAGCTCATCTAGTCCTCTTGCCCCAGGTGGCAGATATAACCAGAATCTTTCTATGCATTAACAGAACAGCCAGGAAAAGCCTTGTGGAACTTTCCATGCCCACATTTTCCATGGGAGATATCAAGTCTTAATTAAATATGGGCTCAAACATAGATTTTGAATCTTAAAGATCTTCACATGGACTCTGACTTAATATTAACATAACTAATTTCACCCATGATAAACAAACAAGTATCCCTTGAACAATAACAACTGATTTGACAAATATCAACACACACCTAAGACTATGGCACAAGTGTTATCTTACGCAGGCACGTGTCAAAGTACCACTGCTTTCGCCACGGCAAACCTCTTGCAATGAGAGAAGTTTTAACAGAAACAAAATCCAGGAGTGGCCATGAAGGTAACTTCCAGAGGTATGGGGCTTTTGTTTTTAAATCTGCTCCAAGTTACAGACCAATCACATTATTAGTACATCAATTGTGACCTTCGGATCAGAGGAACATCAATACTGCCACATGGCCACTTTCCATAACTTGTGGGCAGTTCAAAAACCATGCTTTGGATGATGCTTTCACTAATAAAACTCAGGAGCCAAAAATAATCCAGCAATTTGATTTTCCTCAACTCTATTTTTGACTCCAAGGAAACCATTTAGATTTCATCAATAAAAGGTTGAAGGTGATGATGGAATGCCACTGAAAATAGTTGACAAAGGGATCGTGAATTACATGTGTACCTAAAGAAATTTAATAAAAAATCTGTACAGTATGTTGGCTTAAAAAACACACAGACGAGATACCACAAGCTTATTAGTACATTCACCTTTCTGAATAACCACCACTGAAACTCAGCAACATCCACATGATTTAGCTCCTTGACACTGTGTCCAGAAGGCCAGGCAGGAGAGGCAACTTGCACCTGCATTTTCAGTTTTTTTTTCATTCACCTGGCACATAATAAAGTGGTGCAACAATTCAAGGTCTCTGCTTCCACTGTGCTCACCGACTCTTTTTCCTCCACAGAAAAGCATCAATGAGAGATATAGCCTCCTACCTGCTGCAAATACAGGGGAAGGCAAAAGGAGGTTTACGGTTGTTCCCATGGAAAATAATATAATAGATAATAATAAAAGAATAAACTGCTTTGCACGTACTTACAACTGTAAGCCTATCTTTGCCCACCTCTGTATTCTGTTCAGCAGTACAGTCCACTTCAGGGGTCTGGACCTCTGCCGTAACACAGAATTCATTTTTAGAGAGCCCTTCCCAAACAGGAGCCAGATTCTTATAATGACCATACCACGGGGCATAAAACTTGGTGAAGGTTATTCCTTCTGCAATGATGTCATCTAAGTTATTTTCTGTGAGTGCCAACACAGTGCCCTTGTTGGCCTCAGGTTCGGAAGCCAGCACCATGGTCTCTGGGGCACCACTGACCGAATTCAGGCCAGGACAGCACTGGGAGGAAGCATGGTGGGCAGGGGTGCGGGGCGTGGAGGCATGGCTGGCGCACCCCCCTGCCCAGAGGCCAGGCTGGAGCATTCTCACAGTGCAGCAGGTCTCCATGGTACCCACCCCCTGCCCTGCAGAGTGCACAAGTTTTTTTAAAATGCATAAGTAATTAGATCTAGTTCTGAAACTCAAATATGATGTTATAAAATTAGGAGTTCCACAATAATGTATAATAAAGGTAACATACATACTAGTACCCAATGTACCAGGAATGTTTACTGGTTCGGGCCTATTGTTACTTTTCTGAATTTACTTTTAAAAAAGATTTTATCTATTTATTTTTAGAGAAAGGGGAAGGGAGGGAGAAAGAAAGGGAGAGAAACATCAACGTGTGGCTGCCCCTCGAGTGCGTCCGGACTGGGAATTGAACTGGTGACTCCCTGATTTGTAGGCCAGTGCTCAATCTGCTGAGCCACACCAGCCAGGGTCACTTTTCTTATTTGTTTTAAAGAAATTAGAATAAAATAAATCTATATGTATAATCTAAGATTGCTGAATGGCAAAGTTCACCAAATTGCTCCTTGAAGTATTATACTGAGGGAAATAAACATACCTCTAACTGGGAAGCTTAACTGCTGTAAAGTTGATGCACTTATGCAGTAACCAATTTGGGGTTCATAGGCAATGGTATCTAGACATTCATTCCAATCTTGAACGTTAGTAACAGGACAATCCTGTAGATGAGTAACAAGGTCTCCCACAAAAAGGCCTCTGGGTCCAACTGCAGGTGAATCCTTGGAAAGAGGGCAAAAACAAATCAGATAATGTGTGTAAACAAGCTATGATTAATTTCAGCAAATAATTAAAGACACTGAATTGATTAAGTAGATTATTTTGAGTAATACAGAAAACAATCCAGCTTTGAATCCAAGATATATAATCTCAGAAAATTAAAAAACCCCAATAATTAGTTACTTTTACTATTTCTCCAAGATTAAAAATTTTTTTGCCACTGAGAAAACAAAAACTCACTTGCCAGCTGTTAAGACTGAGATGATAGCTTTTTAAAATAAACTGCTACTAAATTTTTTGTGAAAGTAGTTATCAGAAGGCCTATTTTTCTATATCCTCAGTGGATAAAACTGTAAGGCAAGTCCTTATCTAGATACAGTCCCAAATATGCAGGCGATACTGTCAGCACAATGAATATGCGAGCTACTTGCTCACAAAGGTAATTTTTCTCTCCCCCAAGTCTGAATAGAAAACTTGATGCCATCTCAGTAGTTACTGACTAAGGGAGTGAAATACAGAGTTGAAGACGTAAGTGCCCGTGAAATGTTCTGGCTGGCTAGCCTAGGCTTCTTCTTTCTTACTTCTTATGAGAAAAGATATTGACTCAAAAGCAGAGTTATAAAAATAAACAGTAAAAGTAAATGATGCATATTATCAACAAACTACAAGTAGAAAATCTTGATACTATTTTTATAACTAAGAACAGAAACAATTTTTAGCCTTTTTAAAAAGACAGTGTGTTTCACCAAACAATTTGATTTGAAAGGGCTGCCAGTAATTCCTTCAGGAGAAACTGAGCATTTTGTCTATGAGAACTTGAACAGAAGTCCCTGACATAAAATGCTAAGTGCTACAACACAAAATCTGATAAAAGAATGCCTAAGTAATCCATCATTTACCTCAGCAACTTCAGTGATAAGCACCCCAACTCCAGTGTAGTAAAAGGGGAGGAGAATCACAGGGAGGAGGACAAGCGCTAAAATACCCAGGAGTGCAAGGACAAAATTATGCCAGATACCTGTAAAGAGGAAAAAAAAGGAATAAGCTCAACCAGGGGCTGGAATGACATAGGTATTTGGATCTCATAACATCTGGACATTCTTACAAATTAGGAAAGTAACCAAAAGAAGCTGTGAGGCACATAGAACTACTTATTAGTACAACAGACAGATGTTCAATTAGAGGCCTCTTTCATTTCAGTATTAAAATGTAAAACAAGCATGTTAATACCACATGGTAATATAACACTAACAAAATCTATATTATATTCTATAAACCTGATATGTGTCTATATCACAAATAGAATTAATATCTTCTGTTTACTATATCTTCTTTTCAGAAAATGTATAAATAATATAAACATACTTGTGATCGGTGAAAGGAATATCAGAGCTATTCAAATAAAAGCTAGGATGAAATAAACATTCTTGCTGAACTGGAGTATGGAAATCCAAATGGTATTTGAAAAAAGAAATTGTTTTAAGAATTGTTATGGAGAATACTACTGGTGGGCTGAATAGAGTATGTATCTAACATCATGTCACAGACCATAACTACCTCCATCATATATAGAGTGGTGTGTTGGTGCCTGCTTCTACCCGCAGGCCATAGCCAACCGTGTGCACCCCTTCCCAGTTCTTCTTTCAGGGACTCCAAGCTTGCACCTTGAAATTGGCCATGGTGGACCACACATTTACAAGACAGAAACCAGCAAATGCTACATATCAGAGCTCCCTGCCCTCCCCCTTCAGAGTCATGGGTTAAAACATACACCAGCACACTACTATATAACCTATCCCTTTATACCTATCCTTCCCTTCTTCTACTAGTTTTTGCCATGGGGAAGGGTGAGGGCACTGCTAATACTATGAGCAGTGCACTTCTTAGTTGTGCAAGTCTGTCCCTTACATTACAGGACATTTAGCATTCCTGGCTCCATCCACTAAATATCATTAGTGCTCTTCTGTCAGACAACCAAAGAATGGCTCCCACTCCACACATTCCATACATTCCCAAGAATGTTTGGGTTGAGAGCATCAGTGGTTGAAAACCAATGTTCTATAGTGAGAGCAATGCAACCTAAAGACATTTCCCAGACTCTCAGGAAGCTCAGTATGGTCACATGACTGTTTTGAACAAAAGGATGCTAGTGGAAGATATGGGAATATTCCCATCCTACTGGCTGGACTGAGGGAGCTGAACCTGAGTCCACAACATAAAAGCTGCATGTTGGGAATAGCAGAGCTAACTAGACAGAAAAGGCCAGAGTCCCCCAAATCATAGAATTATCATATAGCACTGAGCTACTTACAGTTATAAGAGTTTAAGTCTGTTATTTTTAGCTATTACAATAGCCAGATACTTAGCTAATAGACGTTCCACATACCATATTCACATTGTAAGGATGTAACCCTTCCCCTTTTTGGGTGTTTTAAGTTGTTAAATTCCAAAAATATCCAGACTAAATCTAGTCCAGGACATATAGGTAAAAAACACCAAATGTATAAAACCATCAGAAACTATATTTTGTTTTTTCATTTATCTATTTTGGCTTTTTCCCTTTTTTGCACACTCATCCCATTTATTATATCTACTACAGAGTAACCCATTTTTAAAAAACATAGACTTAAAATTCATTTCCCTACCAATGATCATTTAGGTGGTGTTAACTTTGTTGTAGCATACATACAATGCTGCAACAAATAGCTTTCTTCATATTCTTATGCATCTGTAAGGGTATGGAAAATTACATAGAAAAGGAATTGGTGTATCAAAAAAGATTTGTATAAAATTGACCTCCAATGAGTTTGTATTAAATTATATTCTTACAATTGGCACATTTTCCCACCTTCTTTCTAAACCAACACTGGATGAATGCTACCATAATTTCACAGTTTGACATCTGCTAGATGAAAAATAAAATGTCTTAAGTTCTATTTATTTAATTATGAGTGAACGTGTACAATTTTCATGTTTATTTCTATTAAAAGGCTATTTCTATTTCCTAGAGAACTATCTCTATCCCTTCCCTGTTTACATTTTTGACGGTTGTTTTTTGTTTTACTGATTTGCAGATATTGTTGTCTGCAATATACACATTGAGGAATTTGGTCTTTTGTAAGAATTATTTAGTCATTTCCTCCAGTGTGCAGTTTGTGCCCTGACTGGTGCAGTTTGGCTTGGTTTATGGTCTTGTCTATTCACACATTTTAAATTTTGGTATGTTCAAAGTGTTCCTTTGTATCAAGTCCTTTCCAGTTCAAGACTATAGAAGATAACCTGTTTTCTGGTACTGCTTTCATAGCTTCATTTAAAAAACAAAATTAAAACGAAACACATATGAAAACTCCACACTAATTCTTTGGCACACTGGAATTTACGCTAATGACACTAATTTTTGTGTTTTTTAAAAATTGTTATTTAGTTATTTTTCAAGTAGTTTTTTGTCTATTTCTCCCATCCCAGCCCCCCCATGCTCCCCACCTCCCTCCCATTTCCACCCCCCTTAGTTCTCGTCCCTGTGTCCTTCCTATTCGTTCCTCCAAATTAATGACACTAATTTTTGAATACAGGTATAACCCTGCCACTCCCCACCTTCCTCACCAAGTTGCTTGGCCCCAACACAAATACACAAGATAATTCATCCTCACTGATTAGATTTGTCACCATTACCATGTCCTAAATTCAGCTCCCTCCATCCCCACCAGGATGAAACAGTCCACTAGGACTGCCTAGATGCTTGCATCCTAATTCTCCCATCCAAACAACAGTCAGGGTAGCACAGAGCAGCAGTGATTCCTTCACTTCCTGGGCAAACTCCTATGTCTTGACAGGGACACACACAGCTGGTACCGGACCTACCAGACCATACCTGCAGATCCCCGATTTCCCCATGATGGCTAAGAAGCAACCAGGGTGGTTGAAAACAGGCATTTCCTTTATTTAAACAACTTCTATACATTAATGTTTATAAGTACATCAAAGAAATTCACTACAACTTCTACATTCCTCACAGCAGGGTTTCTTTCATCGGCATTTTGGGGCAGATAAATTCCTTGTTGTGGAGGACTGACTCATGCGTTGCAGGATGTTAAGGAACATCTTTGGCTTCTACTCCCCAGATGCCAGTGGCAACCTCCCCCTTTTTCTCTATTTTGTAGCTACAGTATTTATATAGGCAAATTAATTTTATTATTTCTTTAGAATAGGTATTCTATATTTGCCTTTTCTACTATATAAGGTGTACAAATCAAGTGCTAAAAAGAAAGTCAGTATATAAACAATACAACTACAACTGAGCACCACTCTAAATAAAAGGGTAAAGAAATTACATTAAATAACACTACTTGGCAGGGTTTGGGGGAAATAAAATGACTAAGATAGGTTTAAATTTACTAATACTATTAAATATCACCTAATATTCAATGCTACATATATAATTCAACACAGCTAAAAGATAGTTATGTAAAATGTGTTAATATCAAAGAATATGACCAATATTAAGATATTAAACAAAACTTATTTAACCTTTTTTAAAGTGGAAATATAAATATGCATATAACTGTTCATTCTCTTAAAATCTACAGCAAGCAAAGTTATCAACCTCCAAAACCTCCCACACATATCATTAATTATTAAACATATTTCTAAAAGTATAAACATAACTATTTGGAAAACAGAACTTTAAACATGTGTAAACAGGTGAAATTGAATCTGAAAAGACCTATTTTGAGTACAGTTGCATTACAAACTCTTTTGATGTGAGGTTCATGAATTATCCTCTTGTTGGGATCAAACTTTACAAAAAAACCATATTTTTCAAATAATTATTACAGAACAAGATAAAGCATCTTAACAATGTATTCATATATACATTTTTAAACCTTTTTCACTTTTTACTCCTCTATCAAAACATGACATTTTCACAACGTAATCTTAGTATTTTTAACCTTTTAAAGAATCTTAAACACTTTTTTCTACTAATTTATCAAAACATGACCCTTAGGAATCATAAAAGGGTTTTCTCTCCTTTTTAATGACTATCTTTGGTTTTAGCATGCGTGAAGATATGAGATTTCAGGTTAGTTGACTGAGCAAACTTCCTATCACAACCTTCAAAGGGGCACACATAAGGCTTGTCACCGGTATGGATTCGTACGTGCGTACGCAAATTGAAATCCAGGGAAAAGCGTTTTCCACAGCCTTCAAATGTGCACTGAAAGGGCTTCTCTCCAGAATGCACCAGGTGATGCCGTTTCAGTTTTGAACTCTCAACAAAACCTTTGCCACATTCTGCACATATGTGGGCTTTGGGGCCATGGGTGTTCAGATGCTTTCTCATAGATCCGATATCTTTGAACATCTTTCCGCAGCTTGAATAAAGGCAAGCTACTGTCCTTGGAACATCATCTTTAGGTTTCTTTGGCCTCGTTTTAGTAAATTCTGCCAGCTGTTTGGGATCTGACAGGTCCATGCCAGGTATTCCTTCAGGAGGAAGTTTCTTTCCCGTCAGGTACTCTGAATAATCAGGTGGTGAGTTCTCCCCAACCAGTCCTTCAGTTTCCTGGTCCCCGTCATTGTTTGGGGACCACATGGTGACAGAAAACTCACCCTCCAGGGTTTTGATAAACACCTCCTTTTGCTCCCACTTCCTGCAGCCTCTTGCTGTCGCTGCTGCCGACTCTGACCCTGCCACTGTCCCAGGCGCCGCCCCAGCTGCGGTCCCAGCTGCAGTCCTCGCCACCGCCCCGGCCGCCATCCCCGCAGCGGCTGTGCTGCTGGTGGAGCTCTGCTTACCGATGCCGGGCTTTTTGCTGCGGTTGCGGTTGCGCTTGCGCTTCTTAGTGTAGCTCTGGGTCGCTGATGATGCGGAGGCTTCCAGGGAAGCCAGGACCTGCTGGAAGTAGATGTCTTCCTCCTTGGAGGCGACCATTTGCTGCCCCTGCAAGCTGTCACTGGGCAGGCCGCCTGACTCGCTGTAGCCCACCACCTCCTCCTGGGTTTGTACCATCACCATTTCTTCGCCACGGTCCTGTTCATTTTGTCTAATAAGGAGCGGGTGCAGCACACCCAGAGACGGACTGTAGTCGACACCCTGCACCCAACTGTCACCAGTACCCTCGTATGCAAAGGTTTCCATGGTCACTGGCTCCAAGGGGGTGGTCTCCACAGGGATAGCCCCCACGGGAACAGTCCCCAGAGCGAAAGTCTCCACGGGGATATCCTCCACGGGAACAGTCCCCAGAGCGTAAGTCTCCACAGGGATATCCTCCACGGGAACAGTCCCCAGAGCGTAAGTCTCCACAGGGATATCCTCCACGGGAACAGTCCCCAGAGCGTAAGTCTCCACAGGGATATCCTCCACGGGAACAGTCCCCAGAGCGAAAGTCTCCACAGGGATATCCTCCACGGGAACAGTCCCCAGAGCGTAAGTCTCCACAGGGATATCCTCCACGGGAACAGTCCCCAGAGCGAAAGTCTCCACCGGGATATCCTCCATGGGAACAGTCCCCAGAGCGTAAGTCTCCACAGGGATATCCTCCACGGGAACAGTCCCCAGAGCGAAAGTCTCTACCGGGATATTCTCCATAGGAACAGTCCCCACAGGGATAGATTCCAGAGGGAGAGTCTCCAGGTTGACCTCCTGCAGCTCCACAAACTCGGTAGGCACCTCCGAGTTTTCTGTGGCGATGTAGATAACGTTGTTTGAGGCCATAGCTGAAGGCTCGGAAGAGGATTCTGCTACTAGGCAGTGCGTAGTATCGCAAGGTTGCGGAAAAGAAAAGCTCAGGACAAGACCGTGAGCTCCAGAAGAAAGCTCGAGCTTTGGAGATTGCCGCGAATGCCAGAAAACCGCGCGCGCTTTAGTATTTTAGGCGTTGGACGCGGGGGATTCTGGGCATCCTGGTACCCAACGCATGCGCACATCCAAGCTCATACCCACAGACATACCCATAAAGTTTCGAGCGCTACGCTTCCCGCTTCTTCACTCTGCCCACCCGCCAAAATGTTGCCTTTTGAATACTGATTCAGGAACCGGGCTCTTTACTTTTTTTTTCTCTATATTTCATTTGTTTACTTTATATACCACTCCCCCCCCCCCGCAAGGTGTATAATAGTATCTGGGGGCAAAAATATTTTTCTAATATTTACGTTTTTATTTTCCCTCTTATTTAATTGCACTGACCCACATTTACAGACTATTTAATAGTACCAGTGATCGGAGATAGTGGGATTGCTTGTCTTGTCCTTTAATAGGAATGCTTCTAAGTGTTATACTGTTAGGAAATACCCAGCTATTTCTACTTTTACTAAGGATTTTTATTTTTTAGCCATTGATAGATGGTGAATTTTATTTATCTGTTTCAATATCTGCTGAGACGAGGATCCCCCCCCATGGTTAATAATGTTTACCACATTCCAAAAAGATTACCTAATGTTAAACCAACCTTGCTTTGTTTAGATACACCGTGTGTCTGTAGAGTTTTTTGGTGCTTTAATAGATGTATGTGTTATATTGGCTTAAAAAAAATCTTAGTTTCCTTCTCTATATGATCTGGAGAGTTTATACTAAATTGGAATTAAAAAGAAAAATCTTTTCCTTCAAGATCTGAAAGAATCCCACCCATGTAACTTTCAGGGACATTCTCCATCAACTTTCTTAATTTCTTGTATTGTAATTAGCCCATGTATACATATATTTTTCTATCTCCTCTAGGATTTATTTAGGCTATTTACTTAAAAAAAATTTTATTTACTTATCTTTAGAGGGGAAGGGAAGAAGAGAGGGAGAGAAATATCAATGTATGGTTGCCTCTCATGAGTCCCCTGCTGGGAACTGGCCTGCAACCCAGGCATGTACCCTGACTGGGAATCGAACCACAATCCTCTGGTTCGCAGGCCCATGCTCAATCCACTGAGCTGCACCAGCCAGGGCTGTTTACTTTTTTTATAATCATCCAGGGCTTTAAAAAACTTTTTCAGAGATGAACCAAAAACAGTTTTATAATAGTTCTAATTTTCTCTGTATCACTTGTCATTCCCCATTCTGAGTTCTTATTCTGTCTATAGAAGCTTTCTCCCATTGTTTAATATCTTTTTCTTCAAATAACTAACTCTTAGAATTAACAGCTATATTTTTCTTTTTTCCAATTTCTTATTTTGTGTCTATACATCCTTAGTAATTACATCATTTCTCAACTATTTTAGTTTTCTTCTCACTCCTTCAGTTGAATTTTTAACTGATACTTTCATTGCTTTTCATAAAAACTGCCTAAGGTAGTGAATTTTCCTTTTAACCAAACTTTACGCCATATTTCATCATCTTTAAATATACTACAATTATGGTTTTGAGTAAAACTGGACAATTTTTGTTTCATGAGCACTTGAAATTGTGGTGTAGAGTTTGATGTATCTATTTTTGCCTTATTAAGAGCTTCAGTGATCTGATTTTTTCATGACTATATGCCATGTGTTGAGAGATATGAGTCTCTTTTATGACACCTGTTTTTGCTTTTCCATTTTTGTTTTGATGGTTTGTTACTTGATATAGTAAGATTCACAGTAATTACATTTTCACTGTAGTTATAGTCCATATGATTAAGTACCCCTTCATCTCATTTAATGCTTTAGTCATGTTTCTATTAACATGGTATGTTTTGTTCATTTTACTTTACTTTTTTAAAAATCATGTTTGTTTTAGTTGTTTTTCATGAAGAAACTGGAATGTAAATTATTTTGCTCTACTACTTTTGACTGAGATTCTTATAAACTGACTTTGTCAACCATAATATAAGATTTTTTTCATTTGTGATACAAGTAAAACTTTCCATAAGACTACTAATAACACAAAGATGAATTTAAAAAAATATTTAAGTCTGTTACCTGCACAAAATATCCTTAGCTGCTGGACTGGTGATATAAGTTGCAAATGAGTGGTGAACAGATCAACAAATGCTCCAGGATAAATAATGAAGAGAAAAATCCCAAAGCCATTAAATCGAACTTGTTCCCTAAGAAATCACATAAGAAAAAGGAATTTAATACTAGTGTTGCATTTATCAAATTAATAATGTATGTAATCTTAAAACATCCCACTGCATTTCAAATTCTTGCTTAAAAAGCAAGTCTCTCTGGACAGGCAAAAAGTTTACGTATCTATGTATCTCTGTCATAATTTTACTATACAGATCTGGTCATCTGTGAAATTGCATTTTGTAAAACAGGGCATTCTGAAATAGACGTACAACTTCAAAATTTTTAGAAACTAGTATGATGAACAAATAACTTGAAATTAGTCACACACATAAAGAAAAGTTTACTATTCTATGAGAAACTAAATGAAAAGCATATTTATGGTTTACTGTATATTATTTTCCAAGGACACAGTAGAAATATAATTCAAGTAAATTATCTAAATATTTATATTTGTCCTTCCTAGCTATTATAAATAAAGGTGGAGGTTTATCTAAATATGTTCCTGTTGAATTAATGTTAAACTAAGTATAATAAAAAATGCATAATGCTCAGACTATCCTTAGAACTATTCAGTCTCTAAAAATGGAATTATACTTAATAGCCTCGTAAAACTGAATAGTTACTCTAAAATAAATTAGCATCTTAATATATTGTGCTATCACTTAGTACTAAGTATATGACTTGTAAAATTCACTTTTTCTTGGTAGTTGTAATTTTATTAACAAATTATCCACTGCATACTATGAAATCATTAAACTGTTAATAATAATGCTTTTATATGTAAAACTTTAAGGGCTGCAATGCTAAAAATGCAGAAGCAAAGGTGAAAGAGATTTTTTTTAAAGATTTTATTTATCTTTAGAGGGGAAGGGAAGGAGAGAGGGAGAGAAACATCAATGTATGGTTGCCTTTCATGCGTCCCCTGCTGGGAATTGGCCTGCAGGGAACTGGTCTGCAACGCAGGCATGTGCCCTGACTGGGAATCGAACCGCGATTGTCTGGTTCGCAGGCCCGTGCTCAATCCACTGAGCTACACCAGCCAGGTGAAAAAGATTTTTTTTAAAAAGTAGCCACTTACTTAAACCACTACACTGTACACCAGTCAAGATGAAGGTTTATTGCTAGTCTATATAGACTCTTGTTCATAAGTAACTGGAAAGTAATAAGTGATTAAATAAATCTTGTCATCTAAAACCTTTTACCTGGTCCACATACTGAAAAGACAGAACATTCCCATCAGTATGTGTTCCTTATGGCAGTAATTATCAGTGGGAGTGAAGGGGAGTTGTGACTCATCTTCTCCCCCATCATATTATTACAGGTTTAGGAGCCTTTAAAATGGTCAGGTATAATTATGATATATTCAGGTAGTTACAACAAGAGGGCATGATACTTGAAGAGAGTCCCAGGTCTCGCCCTCCCTTACCTTCTTCCACTTAGGTGTCTAAATAGGCTATATTTATTAACAAACCCAGAGCTTTCAGTATTCTTACTCTAGCTAGCAGAGGCAGTAAGTAGAAGCAGGAAAGTATTTCAGCTGATAAGCCAAAGAAAGTACTAAGTAGCAATACAGAGATTATCATTCTGGCCCAATGATGAATAGAAAGATTATGCTTCAGGATTGGATGAAAATCTTGAAGCAACATGAGAATATAACCATGCTGGCAGTGGGCAAAAGATAGAAAGATCCACATTATAAAAACAGTATGTACATCGTTCATTGAATGTATTTATCAATATGTAAATCTCCGCAGCAAAAGAGAAGGTGCCTAAAATAATAACCAAGGGTAAATACTGGGTAATATCCACAGAAAGAAAAATAACAAATGTAGAAGATTTTAGTAATAAAATCTCCTAAATGAAAGCTTCTTTGCATGTAGTAGACAAAAAAAAAAAAGGTAAATATCATTACCTAATAGCTGCTATCCCATGTCCAATTTCATGTACAACACCACTAATGAGGACTGCAGCGAAGAAATATGTCAGTTGGTTGACGGGTAAATTTATACCAGGAACCTGTTCATAGACACAATGATAAATACACACTTGGGCACCAGGAGACCATGATGTTCACCCTGTATTAAAGCTTAAACTTCCAAGTTGAAAGTTCTGTAAACTAAAAGTAATGTGAATATCGATGGTTCACTTTTTTCATTTCTATCATAATAAAAGTAAAAACACTCATCAGGTTTTTTTGGCAGCTTTTGAACTAAACACAACACCAATCTAAAGAGAACAGGAAACACCAGGTCAAAAAGTTGAAATTTTAGCTTCCTGAAATCTTCACCACGGGAAAGAATTAGAGGGCCTAGCCAAGCACCAAGGACCAGGGAATGTGAAGTGATACTGAAGGAGTCAGCTGGAAGCCTGATTTGGGAATTCTTGTTACAATTCCTAGTCCTTCCTCCCTATTGTTACTGCAAGGTTCCAAGTACTTATATGAGTAATATAGAATCTCCTAAACCCCATCAATGAATTTCCCTTTAGTATTCTCAAGTTATATAACAGTTAATTAAAAGTAGTGTAACAAAGCACCTTGTTAGTGTGGGAACACCATGTCCTCTATTTCTTTGATTTCATCAGTTTGTCTAGTACACTGGTAGTAGCAAAGTGATACATAAATATTGTATTAAAATTGAAATTTAATGCAGAAGGTACATACATTCATATTAAGAACCCGTGAAGAATGAAGAGTTGTTTTGTAATCATGTGTTCCAAAGATGTTGTGTGTATGTATACATCACTGCATACATAAGGGAACTTTGCTATTTAAGGATTGTGTGGTAAATCGTTTTTAGATACCTAAGAATCCCTTCAAGTTATGTCATCTGTTAAGGAAAGAGTCTGTAAATTAGGCTAAGTGGGGCACCCCAGGCATCAGTGCTATTTAAATACTCAGCATCTACTTCTCACAATCTAAAAGTTGGGACCCTAAAGGTATCCTTCTGGAGAAAATCCCTTTTTCTGTTATAAAACAAACAAGCAAAAAGCATTCTCAATGTTTTAACGCATGTCCTTCTAGTCTTTTCATGTAGACATTTAAAAAATTATGCTTTTATTATGAATATGGTTTTGAAATCTGACCCTTTCACTTAGTACTTTCACAAACATTTCCCCATGAATGTTTTCTGATTTAATGTGTTTTTAATGGCTGTATTGTACTCTATGGAATCGACTGATGGGCATTTAATTATTTTAAGTTTCTGCTCTTATAACTACTGCAATAAACATATTTGGACTCATATACTCAAAATATTTTAGGGGGATAAATTTTTAGACAAGCATGGTTAGTTCAGGCTCCAGAGAAGTATCACTTGAGTTTGACAGTCTGGTTCCATAACTAACCAGAGTTAAGTGACCTGGAGGAAGTTCAATTACTCCCCCAATACTTCAATTTCCTCATCATTAAAATGGAAACAACCCCAGTCATATAAAAGGGTAATTTTTAGGATTAATTATTGTGTAATCATATGATAATCTTTGTCCAATGTTTAATATTACGCCTTACAGAGAGAATAACAAATGCTATTATTATACAAAATTTAAAGGACTTTAACACACATCAAACTGCTCTCTCACAGCACACACTTCCATAACCTCAGGAAAGCTTGTTTTATTCAAATCTGCAAATTGAGAGAAATAAAAAAAAAAACCCGTTGTTTTATATTTCTTTGATCACTATTAAAGCTGAACTTTCTCCATACTTTTGACCACTGATAGGTCCTTTGAGAGTAGCCTACTCATGACTTGTCCAATTTTTTCTAGAGTGTCCATATTTTCCTTATTGATCTGTAAGATCATTTCAAATATCAATGATCAGTCCTCTGTAATACATGTCACAGATGAATTTCCAAATTTGTTGCCTTTAATTTTTGTTAGTTTTTTTGATACTTAAAATTTTATGTAGTCAAATATATCACTATTCATGGTTTCTGCCATTTGATACTTATGCCTTCCTTTAACAAAAAAAACCAACAGATTTTAGCCCTGGCTGGTGTAGCTCAGTGGATTGAGTGCAGGCCTGAGAACCAAAGGTTTGCGGTTCGATTCCCAGTCAGGGCACATGTCTGGGTTGCAGGCCAGTTCCCAGCCAAGGGACCCATGAGAGGGAACCATACATTAATATTTCTTTCTCTCTCCCTCCTTCCCTTCCCCTTTAAAGATAAATAAGTAAAATCTTTTAAAAAAGAATTTTATTTTTAAACAGAGGGGAAGGCAGGGAGAAAGAGAGGAAGAAACATCAATCTGTGGTTGCCCCTGGCATGTCCCCCTACGGGGCCCTGGCCTGCAACTCTGCATGTGCCCTGACTAAGAATCGAACCAGCGACCCTTTGGTTGGCAGGATGGTGCTCAATTCATTGAAATACACCAGCTAGGGCTTATGTCTTCCTCATTCTGTGTTCATATAAACAGAAACCTTTTCTTTTTCCTTTCGAAGTCTATTATGATTCCATGTTTTAACTTTAATTCAACTGGAATTTATTCTTATACACAATAGAGGAATTTTCACTTTTAAGCCCTCTTTAGTAATTGGAGAGGCGATTCAAACCATGGTGCTCGGGCAGCTTTCTAAATTCATTAGTAATTCCAAGTGTCCTTTCCCTAGTTTTCGTAATCATCATTTTTAATTTAGACATATTTCACTGAATGACAGTCCCATAATTTAGGCACTTATAAATTGCCTATTGTGATTGTTTCTAATTCTTTATAACAATAATGTTAGGGAAAAGAGCTTGATTAATACCATTTCTTTACTATATTTGAGACACTTTTGTGATGCTCATTATGTGAAATTCTTTCTACCCACACTCAACTAAGCAACTCTTTAAGTATATCTTACTGATTATGCTATCAGTCCTCCCAATTTCCCCCTCCGTTATCCCCGCTCCACCCTGTAACCCTCAACCCTCCAGCATTCTCCCACTTAGTTCATGTCCATGGGTTGTACGTGTAAGTTCTTTGAGTCCTGTTTCCTATACCATTCTTAACCGCTCTCCATCTATTTTGCTTCTTATTCCCTGTACTTTCCCCATTCTTCCTCTTCCCTCCCCACTGAAAACTCCCCATGTGATGTTTATTTCTCTGGTTCTGTTCCTGTTCAAGTTGTTTGCTTAGTTTTTGTTTTCATTTTTTTTTAGGTTCAGCTGTTGATAATTGTGAGTTTGTTGTCATTTTACCGTTCATATTTTTGATCATCTTTTTCTTAGATAAGTCCCTTTAACATTTCATATAATAAGGGCTTGGTGATGATGAACTCCTTGAACTTGACCTTATCTGGGAAGCACTTTATCTGCCCCTCCATTCTAAATGATAGCTTTGCTGGATAGAGTCATATTGGATGTAGGTCCTTGCCTTTCATGACTTCAAATACTTTCCAGCCCTTTCTTGCCTGCAAGGTTTGAGAAATCAGCTGTTAGCCTTATGGGCACTCCTTTGTAGGTAACTCCCTCCTTTCCTCTTGCTGTTTTTAAGATTCTCTCTTTAAGGCTGGGTAACTTAATGATGATGTGCCTTGGTGTGTTCCTCTTTGAGACTCTCTGGGTTTCCTGGACTTCCTAGAAATCTATTTCCTTCACCAGACTGGGGAAGTTTTCCTTCATTAGTTGTTCAAATAAGTGTTCAACTTCTTGCTCTTGTTCTTCTCCTTCTGGCATCCCTACAATTCTGAATGTTAAAGAGTGTTTAAAGTTGTCCCCGGGTTTCCTAAGCCTCTCATTTTTTGAATTCTTGTTTCTTCATTCTGTTCTGGTTGGATGTTTATTTTTCCCTTTTGTTCCAAATTGTTGATTTGAGTCCCGGTTTCTGCCCCTTCACTGTTGCTTCCCTGTATATTTTGCTTTGTTTCACTTTAGGTAGCCTTCATTTGTTCCTTCATTTTGCACCAAGCTCAATCAGTTCTGTGCGCATCCTGATTACCAGTGTTTTGAACTCTGCATCAGACAGGTTGGCCATCTCCTCGATGCTTAGCTCTTTTTCTGGAGTTTTGATCTGTTCTTTCATTTGTGCCATATTTCTTTGTCTTGGTGCACTGGTCAGGGTGAATATTTCTTTAATTCTTTGGTTGTCGGAATTCCACGCAGTTTGATTTTCTGGCACTTCTGGTTGTTCACTGTTTTTAGATCAATTGTTATCCTTTTTGGTTGTGCAAGGAAGCTAAGTGTTTCTACCTACGCCTCCATCTTGGCTGGCACTCTCTAAGAAACTCTTCAAGAACATCAGTATATTTTTTTCACCATATTCCATTATCAAGTGGTAAGGCATCTTTCTGTTCAGATTAGGAGTTTCCTTTTCTCTGACCCTTCTCTGAATTTATGTTCTCAAGATTAATTCCCATACATTCATTCTGTATCACAAAGTATCCTAGTTACTTTACTTTTATGTCAATAAAGCAACAGGTTCATTACAACAGGACAGTGATTTTCAACTGGTGTGCCACAAGAAATTTTAAAACATGCAATACCTGATATTTAGTCAAGGGCACTGACATCTTTCCCCTCAGACTGTCAAAGGAAAAATGACAATAGCCATCACAATAGCCATCTGGTATGAATGTCCTGTCTTGAACCATAAATATATAGGTCACAACACAGAGTTGCATTTTATCAGTCATATTGCATAATAAAGTTGCATCTGATTGGTTAATTCTTGGTACCAGAAATCCTTATATATAAGTACAGGCACCTGATTTTTTAAAAAAGATTTTATTTATTTATTTTTAGAGAGGGGAAGGGAGGGAGAAAGTAAGGGAGAAACATCAATGTTTGGTTGTCTCACGCGCCCCCTACCAGGGACCTGGCCTGCAGCCCAGCATGTGCCCTGAGTGGGAATTGAACTGGCGACCCTCTGGTTCACGTTCCAGCACTCAATCCACTGAGCCACCCCAACCAGGGCAGCACCTGAATTTCTAAAAGTCAACTTTGGAGCAAAAAGTGTAGGTAATTACTATTATGATTTTCTTTGTAAATCAATTAAAAGTATACTTTTTTTGGTCAGATGGGCAAAAAATATATTTTTTGGTGTGCTGCAGAATTTTAGTAATTAGTTTGTATGCTATGTGACGAAAAGGGTTGAAAATTGCTGCAAAGGGATACTGTTTCTCTTTAGTATTTTATAGATGTAATAATGAGACAAGGTAAGGACTTGAACATGTGACTATACCAACAGATGGCCTCATTTGCTGGCAGCAGTATGCGAGTGCCCATCTGTCTTGGACATAATCACACAGGGTATTAGATGTACCAAAATACTAATCTCTTAACAACAGAGTGCCAAGTTTTGGGGAATTAATACTGAATCAGACTGTAGGGAATTATAGAGTACATAAAAAGTACATTCTCCAAGCTACCGGAGCTCATACCAAGGTCAGGAGATAACATTCTTTTTTAAAAAAATATATTTTATTGATTATGCCATTACAGTTATTCTATTTCCCCCCTTATTCGCCTCCACCCTGCACACCCCCTCCCCCACCATTCCCCCCTTTAGTTTATGAACACATGTCTCAAGTTCTTTAGATTCTATATTTCCCCTACTATTCTTGCCCTCCCCCTGTCTATTTTCTACCTACCATCTATGCTACTTATTTTCTGTACCTTCTCCCCCCTTCTCCTCCTCCCACTCCCCTGTTGCTAACCCTCCATGTGATCTTCCTTTCTATGGTTTTGCTCCTGATCTAGCTGTCCTCTTAGTTTGCTTTTGTTTTAGGTGTGGTTCTTAATAACTGTGAGTTTGCTATCCTTTTACTGTTCATCTTTTTTTATCTTCTATTTCTTAGGTAAGCCCCTTTAACATTTCATATAACACATTCCTTTTTTTTTATCCTCACCTGAAAACATTTTTTCATTGCTTTGAGAGATGGAGGGAGGGAGGGAGGGAGAGAGGGACGGACGGACAGATGGACAGAAAAGCAGCAGAGAGAAAAAAACATTGATTGGCTGCCTTCTCGTACACACCCTGAACAGGTATTATACTTGTAACCTGGGTATGTGCACTGACTGGGAATCAAACTCATGACCTTTCTGTCTATAGGACAATGTTCCAAGCAACTGTGCCACACTGGCCAGGGTAATAATGATGTTTTTAAACATATACATAAATATACACCGTGGACTAGAGGGCAGCTGACTACTTGATGGTTCTAAAACATGACTCCCTCTCCTAAGAGAGTCAGTATTTTTGTGAGCTCTATAAATAAAGTGAGAAGCAAAAAGAATAAATACTTTCTTTGTAGCACAACATTTTGCCATTCTAATCCTAGCAGGCATATAGGACATGAATCATATTTCCTCCAAATCTGCTCCTGTCTCTACTATCCTTTTTTTTATCAAACAATAACTAATTAAATAGCCTGAGAGTTATCCTATACTTTTCCTTCTTCCTCCAGCCTCACATTCAATTATTTTTCAGGGCCTGAGAACTCTAATCCAAAAGATCCCTTGAATTTACCCCCTTTATTCTTCTTACCACTAATTTAGTTTAGATCTTTTATCACTTCTAAAATAAATTATTACAACCACCCTTTTAAATGGTCTCCCAATCTTACATGTAACCCTACTCTGGTTCATTTTGTACCCACAGACCTGTTATTGGCAGGTAAAACCAGAAGTCCTTAGAATGGCCCTTCATAACCCAGACCCTACCTATATCTACCATCTTATCTCCTGTACCATATACCTCCTAGACACGGACCAAAGTTATACCACTTTATAGTTGAAGAATGATTGGTCTTTTTTAAGGGACTAGACCAGATGGCTCTGAAGTCAGTGGTGGATAAGTGATGAACCTCCTCCCTCACCCCATTTACTACAGGCAAATGATTTAACATTTCTGTGCCTTGGTGTTCCCATTTGTCAATCTTACCTTCAGACTGTTGTAAGAATAAAATAAAACAGGCACAAAAACCTCACAGAGCACTGTATATTAACTAGGTTTTATATTATTATAATTATTATTACTATTTCCCTGCCTTTCCATTTTACCTGGTCCGCTCTGTGAGGGGGATGCTCAGTTGCCATTTTCCTTACCCAGGCTATGCAGACTCTCTGCTCCTCGCCTTGAAGCGTCCCTCTACTTTCTCCCCAGTGCCAGGCTCATCTCAGCACATCTTCTCTCTCCCTGTTCCCACAGCACCTGATGCTCTGTCCACCTGTAGTACTACCACAGCAGCTCTCCCTCTTGACTAAAAGAGCCATGATTGCTAGAATTGGATTTCATTGTATAAAGCCTTAACACAGAGCCAATACACAAAATACATTCATTAAATGTTTGCTGAAGAAACAAATCAACTCTTCTGAGGCCTCACCTGGAGAATCCTTTTAACCTCTAAGAAACAGCTATTACCATAGAAGAGATTCTTTATCGTTCTCCACAAATGACTTCTAAATTTTTCCTTAGGGACCCATCATATAGTAAAAGCCACAAAGAGAGGAGCTAGAAGAAAAATCTGTCACTAACTTTTTTTTAGTTTTTAATCCTCACCCAAGGGCATGCTTATTGATTTTAGAAAGAGGGGACGGGAGGGGGAGACAGAGGGAGAGAAACATCGATCAGTTGCCTCTTGCATGTAGCCTGGACTGGGGACTGAACCTCACAGAGCACTGTATATTAACTAGGTTTTATATTATTAGAATTATTATTATAATAGTTGCAGAACCTAGGCGTGTGCCCCTACCAGAAATCGAATCTGTGACCTTTTGGTTTACAGGATGACACTCTAACCAACCTAGCCACACTGGCCAGGCTTGTCATTAACTCTTAAATAATCTATTCCATTAATAAGAATATGATTAAAAACATAACATCCGTGATTCATAGAAATTAAAATGATAAATTGTAAAAAATAAGAAATAACAGCCAACAGTAAAGGCCCCTTCCAAGCCCTGGAGACATGATTCGATAAGGCATGGGTCTACACATGTGTCTTAAAGTGAGAAGTATTATAAATAGCTCACAGTCAAAAGAGTACAACTCACTATGTTACCCTTCACATTAAAAAATCACAAGGACCATTCAAAAAGGTTTTACACCTTCAATTAAAAGAATATTATTGGTTAGAGGAGGAAGGCCATGAAGAGGAAAGGGGAAGGGAACACTTTGCATAGGATAAAAAAAAATTTATTTATATAGAGATCTTAAATAATGCTTATTCTTTTATAGTAACAACCATTTAACCTCTCAAGACAACGCATATTAAATCAAAATCCATATAATTATCAACAGTCTTAATTATGATCCATTTCTTCTATTACCACTATTATTGCTACTGCTACTACTACATATTGCAACAATTCGTTGCTATATTATTAACTAATATTTTTGTTTAAGCAGGTAATTTGAGAAATCATGTGACTTTTCATATATTTTCATATTTATATTATAGACAGAAGTTATGCTATCCAAAAGAAATACCTTATATCTATGGTTCAATAGTTACTTAAAAGCAAAAAGAAGGCACTTACCACAACTTGTAGCACCTGTTCGTTGTGAAGTGAAGAGGAGGAGGAGGAGGAAGAGGAAGAAGAGGAAGAAGAAGATGAAGAGGAGGAGGAAGAAGACGAGGAGGAAGAATAAGAAGCAGAAGAGTCAGCCATCATTTGTGCTAAAGTCTGCATCAGCGTTTTCCCCAGGAGAAAAAAAGAGCTAAACATGGCAATTACGCCAAACACCATTCCAAAATTGAACCTGTTAAGAGAAAAAAATTGCACAAATGTACAATTCCTCACAATTCATGGACTAAAAAAATTCACCAACCAGCCACATTTCATAGCTTTAAAATGTATAAAAATTTCAATTACCCTGTGTTTTTTCTCCTACCTGAACTTTGGATCTGTGACTGAAGCACAGGGCACTAGTCTCTTTAAGCCATTCCAATAACTTAAAACTCTCTCATAACTGGAGGCTGAATATGCTTCCCAATAAAAAGTTTGCTTCCTCGGCTTTTTTCTCATTTATGTAGCATTGTTTTGATCTTGTTCTCATACTTACAATAGTAAGTAATGCCCTTTTGACATTATAGACATCCACTCTTTTTCATCTACCAATTCTATTTGTATCTTATTTTAGCTGTATTTTATGATGAGTTTAAACACTAACATGGTAATTTTTTAAAAGATTTATTTATTTTTAGAGAGAAGAAGGGAGGGAGACAAGAGAGGGAGAGAAACATCAACGGGTTGCCTCTCACATGCCCCCAGTCTGGTACCTGGCCCACAATGCAGGCATGTACCCTGACCAGGAATTGAATCAGTGACCTTTTGCTTTGTGAAATGATGCCCAACCCACTGAGCCACGCCAGTCATGGCTAACATGGTAAAATTTAATGAATTTTTTCTTTTACTGTTTTAATAATTAGAAGTTACCCTTCTATCTATTACATTTTCTAACTTTTTGATGAGCTGTGTTTTCCAAGGAACTTGTCCATTTCATCTAAATTATTGAATTTATAGGCACAGAACTGTTCAGATAGTTCCATTTTTAAAAAATGCATGTACAATCTGTATTAATGTTACCTTTTTCAATTCTGATCTTTAGTTATGTGTATTTTTTTCCTCAATCCATCAAAGTAGGGGTTTATCAATTTATTAATACTGTCAAAGAACCAACTTTTGGCTTTGCTGATTTTCACTACTATTTACTTTTTCTATTTCACTGATTTCTGCTCTTTATTATTTTCTTTGCTTTGATTTGCAGGTGTATTTACTGCTTTTTGATGATCTGAGTCCTTACATTTAGCTCTACTTCATTTGGAGCTAAATTTTTGACCAAAAGGAGCTCCCTATTCCCACATTAGAAATTCTCTCAACTATACAACCTCCAGAACCCTGGCACTGCAACCTGGCCGGCCATTTTCCCACTTGGTTTGCACATGTGCCTTACTAGTTGTTAAATACTTAAACACTCCTTCCCCTGGAGGAGTATCCAAAAGAATTATAGGCAAAATCCTGCAGATTTGGGGGCATCCATAGACTCCCAGACCCTTGTTCCTATGTGTGATGATGGGCGAGAGAATTCTCCAGGGCTATTTTCTTAATGAAAATGTTCCCTATTTGTTTTGGTTTCCTACTAGTATATAACACACAGAATAAAGTGCACATGTCTGAAGTGTACAGCTCACTGAATTTCTACAAATGTGCACCCATGTGTCTATCACCCATCTCTATCAAGATACAGAACCTTCATTTTCAATGTATGCAAAAGCACAATGACACAATCCCATAAGCTGACATAAATCCAGAAAGCTTCTATACCGTCAACATTGAAAAACTCAGTACATTGGAAAATGATGGAAACGGTTCAGTTCACAAGAATTTCTCATGATTACAATGACTAATTCAAACCAAAAAGAGAAAATGAAGCATACCATTGATAAAGCATCCTTGCTTTCCGCCGTCCCCAACTGTAAAAGGCACGATTGAAAACAGCAGTTTGCCATCTTATGTGGAAAGGGGAGATGCTCAATCCATTGTTTTCTAGCCAGTCTTCATAAGAGTGCTTAAAATACACAGATGACTACGAGAGAAAGGAAAGTTTCATATCACTCAATTTTGAACAACTTATAATGTTTAAGAAAATTTAAAAAATAGCCTTTTCTGTAGGAAAGCAAGATACTGACTGCCCCAATGCTCATAATTTTAAAGCTTTATGTCAGGGGTGTCAAACATTTTCACTGGGGGCCACACAGCCTCGCAGTTGCCTTCAAAGGGCCAAATGTAATTTCAACTCCTTAACAGTTAAGGAGCAGGTACATTTATATAGTCCTAAAGTTATTCCGGCCCTTTGAAGGCAACCATGAGGTTGATGTGGCCCCCAGTGAAAATGAGTGTGACACCCCTGCTTTATGTTCATTCATCAGTATATTAAAGTCAAGGCCTCAGACTAGCTGGGCTGCTGAAGTTAGGGTCTGGCAAATAATGGCCCATGGGCCAAATTCAGTCTACAGCTTATTTCTGTACAGCCTATGAACTAAGGATGGTTTATATTTTTAAGAGACTGCAGAAAAACAACAGAAAAACAAGAATATGTGACAGACGCTGTGTGGCCCACAAAGCCTATAATATCTCACCCTTTACAGAAAAGTTTGCTGACCTCTGCTTAGAATGGCATTGTCCAATAGAAATATGAGCCACAAATGCCAGCCACATATATAACTTTAAATTTTTAGGTAGTCAAATTTCAAAAAGCAAACAGAAACAGATTAATTTAAATATATTTTCAACTCAAATTAATACAAAAATATTGAGACTTCCGGCCAAGATGGAGGCGTAGGTGGAACACTGTGCCTCCTCGCACAACCAAGTTTAAAGACAACAAAGTTTTAGCAACAAAAACACAACCAAAACACAGAGAATTGAACTATATGTAAGCCCGACAACAACAAACTGTTCAGCCAGACTGGTAAGATGGGTAGAGTCAGTAGCTGACCGAGCTGGGTAGGGCAGGAAAAATCAGCCTGACTGACCCAGGAGCACAGGCGGTGGTTGGCAGATTCCAGGCGTGGGGTGGCAATGGGCAGACCCAGTGGGGGCGCGAGGTGGCAGGCTGACTGTGGTCACACATTCGCGCGCAGATAAACCAGGCGAAGGAGTGAGCAGTGAGACAGACCACGCAGGTTAGGGCCCCAGCGACGGGAATTAAAGCCTAAAAGCACCAATTGGAAAAACTCTTGGGATCCAGGTGCCGGAAGAAGCTCCCAGGCTCACAGAGAGTTTGTTGGAGAGACCCACAGGGTTCTGGAGGGTGCACAGGCCCACTCACCCGGGAGCGGGTACCAGAGGAGCCAGGTTTGCTTGCAGGGAACAACAGAGGGGACCAAAATGCGACAGAGAGCATAGAACAAGTGCCATTGCCCCTCTCTGACCCCGCCTCCACATATAGCGTCACAACCCAACGCGTTGCCTCGCCCTGGTGAACACCTAAGGCTCCGCCCCTCATATGAAACAGGCACGAACAGACCAAAACATTATGGCTCAAGAACAGCTCAAAGCCCCAGAGCCAATACTTCTAAGTGACCAAGAGATAGACAACATATCAGACGCACAATTCAAATCCCTGGTGATCAGGATGCTCACAGAATTGGCTGATTTTAGTCACAAATTAGAGGAACAAATGAAGGCTTTACTAAGTGAAATGAAGGGAAATGCACAGAAAACCAATAGTAATGGGAAGGAACCTGGGACTCAAATCAAGGGAGCGGACCAGAAGGAAGAAAAAAATGACCAAACAGAAAAGGATGAAGAAACAAGAATTCAAAAAAAAAAAAAAAAGAGAGGCTTAGGAACCTCCAGGACATCTTTAAATGTTCCAACATCTGAATTATAGGGGTATCAGAAGGGGAAGAGGAACAGCCACAAGTGGAAAACTTATTTCAACAAATAATAAAGGAGAACTTCCCCAATCTGGCAAAGGCAATAGACTTCCAGGAAATCCAAGAACCTCAGAGAGTCCCAAAGAAGTTGGACCCAAGAAGAAACACACCAAAGCACATCGTCATTACATTAGCCAAGATTAAAATGGAGAGAATCCTAGAAGCAGCAAGAGATAAGGGGACAGTCACCTACAAGGAGTGCCCATCAGACTGTCAGCAGATTTCTCAAAAGAGACCTCACAGGCAAAAAGGGGCTGGAAAGAGGTATTCCAAGTCATGAAATCCAAAGACCTACAACCAAGATTGCTCTATCCAGCAAAACTTTCATTTAGAATGGAAGGACAGATAAAGTGCTTCTCAGATAAGATCAAATTCAAGGAGTTCATCATCACCAAGCCCTTATTATATGAAATGTTAAAGGGACTTACCTAAGAAAAAGAAGATAAAAAAGATGAGCAGTGAAAGGACAGCAAACTCACAGTTATTAACAACCACACCTAAAACAAAAGCAAACTAAGAGGACAGCTAGATCAGGAGTGAACCATAGAAATGGAAATCACATGGAGGATTAGCAACAGGGGAGTGGGAGGAGAAGGGGGAGAAGGTACAGAAAATAAGTATCATAGATGGTAGGTAGAAAATAGATAGGGGGAGGGCAAGAATAGTATGGGAAATATAGAATCTAAAGAACCAGTGACACATGGACATAAACTAAAGGGGGGGAATGGTGGGGGAGGGGGTGTACAGGGTGGAGGGGACTGAAGGGGGGAAATAGGACAAGTGTAATTGCATAATCAATAAAATATATTTTCAAAAAAAGATTAAAAAAATACAAAAATATTGTAATGGGTGACATCAGAGGAACCGTGGCATAAAGAGATTCCCTTGGTCTCTCCCCTTGAAGTTTGAACAATTTGAACAGCTACAATTGAACAAAAGACTCCCTGCTCAATGCACCAAAACGTCTGAGAGATCTGCAAATTGCAACATGTAAAGATGGGCAAGTGGGAGCAAACCAGGGAAGCAAGAACGGTGAAAGCTAAGATAAGCCATAGACGCAGCCCTGCAGCTGGGAGCTCTGTGATTTTTCAGCCAGAGAGAGAAGGAATCAGGCTGTGTCTGGCACTCCCTTCAGCCAGGAGGAGCAGAGATTTAATGAGCGTTTCTACGGGAGTGGGCAGTATGAGCTGCAGCACAGCCCAGTAACCTGGGCAGAGACAAAAGCACCAAGGTGCGGCCTCTGTTTTCTGGCAATCAGCATTCCACAGAGAAACAAAGCCATGGAGCCTGGCTTCCCCTTAACCTGCCAGAGCTCGCTTCCCCTCACCCTTTGTGTGGGTTTGCAGAGCACATTATCTGCAAACACAAGAAATGGTACTGAGAATCACATTTTCCCTGAGTGACAGGCTCACTCTGTGACTAATCTCAGGTTCAGGTGGAGGCACATGGGGGACACCACAAAGGCCCACCGGTTGCCATTGCTAGGAGGCAAAGCAGCAAAAGAGAAGGCTGGGTTCCCCTAGCCCACCCCACCCCCACACATCACAGCTATACTGCCAGCTGCACCTGGCTGCCGGGACAACACTGGGATTTCACACATTTGGAGTCACATTGCCCACTGAGTTTCCCTGCAGGGATGGTCCCCTGGGACCTGGGTGACCAATCACAGGTTAGGCACCCACCTTCCCAGGGAACACAGGCCATTTCCCACCTCCCTGCAGAGATCTGAAAAGCCAAAGAGTACAAAAAGCAGGTGTAGCCATACTCATATCTGACAAAATAGATTTAAAAATACCAAAGTAACAAGAGACAAAGGCAGACATGTTATAATGATAAAAAGGACACTACATCAAGAAGACATAACACTTCTCTCTCTCTCTCCACACACACACACACACACACACACACACACACACACACTCTCTCTCTCTCTCTCTCTCTCTCTCTCTCTCTCTCATTCTGGGAACACCAAAATTTACATAAAGCAACTCCTAATGAAAGTAAAGGGTGAAACTGACAAAACCACAATCATAGTAGAGGATGTAAATACCCCATTGACAGTTACAGATAGATCATCCAAACAGAAAGTCAATAAAGAAATATCAGCCTGAAATGACACACTAGACCAAATGAACAAATTGCCATTTACAGAACCTTTCATCCCAATCAAATTACATATTCTTATGCAGTGCACACAGCACATTCTCAACAATAGACTGAATGTTGAAACACAAAACTAGCCTCAACAAATTTAAGATTGAAACCATACCAGCCATATTCTCTGACTATGATGCTTTTGAATTAGCGATCAACCAGAAAAAGGAAATAAAGAGACCTACAAATATGTGGAGTTTAAACAATGTATTACTAAAAACTGACTGGGTCAAATAAAAGGTGAGATTGATGGACATATAGTAACAAGTGAGAATGACAATATGACATATCAAAACTTCTGGCAAAAGCAGTAATAAGAGGGACATTTATATCATTAGAGGCCTGTCTCACAAAACAATAGGAATTTCAAGTAAGCAATCTAATATCACAGTTTAATGAACTAAAAAAAGAACAAAAACAACCAAGAGTCAGCAGAAGAAAGGAAATAATAAAAATTAAAGCAGAATTGAATGAAATGGAGAACAAAAAGACTATACGAAATTAATACAACAAAGAGTTGGTTCTTTGAAAAGATTAATAAAATTGACAAAAGCCCTGGCCAGGTAGCTCAGTTGGTTAGAGCATTGTCTTAATATGCCAAAGTTGCAGGTTCCTTCTCAGGTCATGGCATATACAAGAAGCAACTAATGAATGCATAAATAAGTGGAACAACAAATCAATGTTTCTATCTCAAATTTTAAAAAATTAAAGACATAAAACTGACAAACCCCTGGCTAGACTTGCTAAGGAAAAAAGAGAAAAGACTCATAAAAACAAAACTGGAAATGAAAGAAATTATTACAGACTGCACAATTATACAAAGAATCATATTAGAATATCACGAAAAACTATATGCCACCAAATTCAATAAGTTAGAAAAAACAGACATGCTCCCAGAAATACATCACCTTCCTAAACTGAATCAATGAAGAATTGGAAGATCTAAATAAGCCAATCAATAGTGAGGAAATTGAAACAACTATCAAAAACC